GCACAGGAGCTGAGGGTGATTAAACAGTTGACAACCTTACATAGAAACACAGAAAACATAGAAACAGAGTGAGTCAGAAGGGGCATCCCGGGCTATCTAGTCTGACCCCCGGTTCCAGCCGGCTCCGCTCATGACATGCCCACCATGTGGACGTCCAGCCTATCCTTGAATACCCTCACCGATGGGGCCTCAACGACCTCTCGTGGAAGCCCATTCCACACCCTCGGGGTCCTGACTGTCAGGAAGCGCTTCCTGGCATCCAAATTGAACCCTGGTTCCCTGAGCTTTGCTCCATTGGAGCGCGTCCTGCCCTCCTCTGCAGGGGAGAATGGGTCTCTGCCCAGCTCCGTGTGACACCCCCTCACATACCTGTATGTCGCCAACAGATCCCCCCTGAGTCTCCCCTTCTCCAGCCTGCAGAGGCCCAGCTCCCTCAGTCTCGCCTCATACGGCATCCCCTGCAAACCGGCCACCAACCTTGTGGCCCTGCGCTGCACTGACTCCGACCTGGCTATATCCTTCCTGTAATGAGGGGCCCAAAACTGAACACAATACTCCAGTTGTGGGCGCACCAGAGTCGTGTAGAGTGGCAGTAATACCTCTCTTGATCTAGAAGCCACACTTCTGGCTATGCAACCAAGGGTGGCGTTCGCTTACCATTGGCTACGTGCAATTAGTCGGCAACCCATCATCCTCCAACTCTCAAAGCCCTTCTTCCACATGCCGCACAGTGTGTGCTTTTCAGCACAAATGCTGAAATCGCTGTGTAATAGGAGCCTGTTGACGTCTGTCTGTCTCTCTGCACTTCACAATAAACATAATGTCATGTGTCCGGCCTTTAAGAATCTATGGCAGCGGCTAGAATACATCCTTAGAAGTCCAACCAGTTCTGTTCCATTAATTTGGGTGAATGGCTGTTCTGCCCACCCTTTGCCAAGTGAGAAGCTGGCACTCCTTGGGTACAGGCTGGAAAGCAGGCAGACAATTCTGCCAGGAACAGAGAACATCTGTCTCTGCCAGAGAATTCAGCAAGCGGGGGATTTCAAAAGCCGTACTCCTGGTCCAAGGCTGCCATCTCGTGGTCCAAGCTGGTATGACGCCCCCCAGCATCATCTCTGCATTTGACGAACTGGGAGCCAAGGACGACAGGTATGCCCTGCTTCACTTGGTTTTGATTAACATGGTAAAATTAATTGCGACAATCTTTTTATTCTCCCGTTATTTTAATGTTTAATTATTTAATTGGGACTTTATTGTGAATTGCGGGATGCTGTGCCATTTTTGCCTGGGCTTGTTGTAAGCCGTCCCAAGACGCTTGTAATGGGATAGTCTATAAAATCTTGAAATAAATAAATCTCTTGATATACGTGGCAGAGTTTTAATTAACTCGCCTTTTTAAATTTGCAACGAACTACTCATCAGATGACTCTTGATAACTTTTTCAACAAAAATTGTAATAATGAATATAAGTACATTTAATAAAACATTTACCTTGCAATCCTATTTGGTCTTTCTTAAAATAGTCCCACATGGTGAGTTGTTAATACAGTAATTGATTATGGATGAATTGTAATTTTAATCATTGATTATTAGATTTGATTAACATGGTTTTGTTATATGTGGCAGTATTGTGTGATGAATTAATAGTATTAATCAAGGGATACTTGCAGGGGGATTTTAAATGCTGGATGTTATTTATCTAAACTGGGGTGGGAGCCCTGTAGATGGCAATGTTCATTGCCCCTCTTCCTTCAAAAAGTATTCAAGCCCACCCTGTTGGTTTCTGCACCGACTGGCCCCTTGTCTGCTGCCCCATAGTCCTGCTCCAGTGGTGCCACTAACCATATGTGATGCCTTCGACCTGCGATAATTTTTTTTCTCCAAGTAGCAGATTCTGCTCCAAGACTCGTAGGCCTGGAGAGGAAATGCAACTCTTTCTTCCATGATGGGGTCCCAAGGACCCCCCTTCAAAGCCAGCATTTTCTTTCATAGGCTAAATGAGCTTTGTCTTAAAAATGAGTATATTTAAAAAGCCCAAACCAAATGAATCAGCCCAACACCAAGGTGTATCTAACACTACTACTAGAGGAACAATAATGCAAACAGGAGCAAAACCTGTTTATTTACCCTTCATTTTAAAATCTGATTAATGTATGATTTCATTATTGGATGCTATGTTTAATTTTTATCGTGTTTTTATTGAGACACTGTCCCGAGACAGTTGTAGTCGGACGGTATACAAAAATCTTAAATAAGTACATAAATAATAAATCGAGCCATTCCCAGCGCAATGTTGCGATCAAGGAATGCAGTGGGGACCCCTTCTGTCTCCCTCAGGGGAGGGGGGCAGCCACCCACTTCTTAATTTCAGAAGCCTTTGGCACGTGACCCAGGAGGACCCCAGAGAAAACTGGTCTGTCCCCAGGCAGGGAGAAGGAAGGGGTGGAAGAAGAAAAGGGTGAGAACTGCTTTGAGTTCTTGACAAAGATAAAAGGTGGGATATAAACCCAATAAATAGGGAGAGACGTGTGTGCGTGCGAGAGAGGAGAGGTGGCCTGCTCTCTTTCTGTTCTGGCCATATCCAGCTCAAGCACATTAGCCGTGACAGAATGGGCCTCGCTGAAGTTCTGTTCCCGTACCCCACTCAGAATTAACGATGCAAAACCACAAACTATGGACTTGGATCACCCAGTAGGACCTAGAAATTCTTGCCAAGGGTGTCTGCGTGGTGCTGGCTTATGTCCTCCCCGTTTCTTGGTCTCCGAGAAATCATCATCGCGAAGAGTTGATTGGAGGTTGGCGGTTGGAGTGCGGACCTGGAAGATGGAGGTTCCAGTTGCTACCTAAGCCATGCAGCTCATGGGGTGATTTTGGCATTTTCTCTCAGCCGGGCCTCCCTTACAGGGTCGTTGTGAGAATTATTATTATTATTATATTTATATCCCACCTTTTTTTCCTTCCAAGGAACACAAGACAGTTTAAATAATATACAACAAATCTGCATCAGCTTTATAGCAATTAACTGCCACTGGTCCCCTCAAATAATTCTGGGGATTGTGGTTTGGTCTGTCAGAAATCCTCATCACAAAAGAACAGTGCTCAGAGTTCTCAGGGAAAAGCTAGTGGGGACAAAATGGCCCATTCAAGACCAAGTCACCCCAAAATATGGTTGAGTGTGACAGGGATAGTGCAGAACGATTCCTTGTCGCTGGGGAAATTTGCTTCTCTCCCAGCTACTAGGACTGCAGTGTCTGCATGTAAACATAGAAACAAAGCAAGAGAAGGGGCCTCCTGGGTCATCTAGTCTGACCCCAGGCTCCAGTTGGCTTCACTCACAACATGCCTACCATGTGCCTGTCCGGCCTATCCTTAAATACCCTCAACGATGGGGCTTCAATCACCACCACCAAGTACTTCCTGGCATCCACCCTAAATCTTGGTTCCCTGAGCTTTGCTCCGTTGGGGTGCGTCCTGCCTTCCTCTGCAGGGGAGAACAGGTCTCTGCCCACCTCCATGTGACACCCCCTCACATACCTGTATGTCGCCAACAGATCCCCTCTGAGTCTCCTCTTCTCCAGGCTGCAGAGACCCAGTTCCCTCAGTCTCGCCTCATACGGCATCCCCTGCAAACTGGCCACCAACCTTGTGGCCCTACGCTGCACTGACTCCAACCTGGCCATATCCTTCCTGTAATGAGGGGCCCAAAACTGAACACAATACTCCAGTTGTGGGCGCACCAGAGTCGCACAGAGCAGTAGCAACACCTCTCTCGATCTAGAAGCCATACTTCTGGCTATGCAACCAAGGGTGGCGTTCGCCCTCTTGGCCACCGCATCACACGGCTGGCTCATGTTCAGCCTGCAGTCAACCAGCACCCCGAGGTCCCTTTCACAAGTGCTGCTCTCCAGCCACTTGCCCCCTAACCTGTACTTATGACACCCATTCCTATGCCCCAAGTGCAAGACCTTGCACTTATCCACACTGAACGCCATCCTGTTGTCTCCTGCCCAGTTCCATAGTCTGTCCAGATCCTTTTGGATCTGGAGTACCTGCCCCTCAGTTGTGGCCACTGCCCCCATGCCCTTTCACCCTAGGAGCCCTGTCTCCTCCAGACTTTGTTTAAGCCCCTTTGCTCCGAACAAAAGGCCTCACTCCACCTCCCCACACCCCGCCAGAATCCCACTCATTTTGAAAACAACCACACAAACACCAATCAAGCGATTCTTGCCAAAGAGACGGGACCAGCATCTCTCTGCTGTAGGAAACTCATCACTGAGGGATTTTGCAAGAAGGCAGAGGTAGAGGAAAAAGTTCCCAGTGTCCACACGATCACAGACCTGTGAAATGCACCGAAAACAACCCCCTCTCCAAATTTCTGCAAAACAAATACACCTGCAGCTCGGACCCAGCAAACACGGAACTCCTGAGATCTCTGTTTCTTTAGACAAGGCCTGACTTCCGTTCCTAATAGAAAGGGAAACAGCCAACCTCCTGCCACTGAAAATACGCTTGGACAGATGGTTGAGCAAATATTGATTCTGTGTCAGGCAGGCTTGGGATGTCGGTACATTTCCATTGTGCACACAAAGCGCTTTAGGGGGACAGGATGGGAGATAAGGGAGGCAGGAAAAAAGATAAATTCAGAAGCGCATGGAAGCAGGTTACAGTGGAAATGCTAGCATGCACAAAAGGTGCTTTCTGCCCATGAGATCTCTGGCAGCACAGAGATGCCACAGAATGTAGTGCTCGGCACAGAATTTGGATTCTTGGTGTCTGCAAATCAAGTTTCTAGCCCTCATGAAGGAGAGGAGCTCCTGAAAAACTCCTGCTGAAATCAGAGAAACAGCAGAAGGCTGAATGAAGTTTCTCCTGCTAGGGGCGAGGGTGCCAGATCCTCTGCAGTTCTCTCCCCAGGGGACAAAGAAGAATTGGGCCAAGGAGTACAACCCCATCCGCAAAAACTGCAGCCGTAAGAAAAAATCATACAAGCACAAAACGGATACCGATTCACCAGCATAATTTAATATTGACGACATTTTCCATGTTTGGCTGTGAACCAGCCCAGGTACATAACAGCCGTAACGGGAATGAGGCGCTCGAGACAGTGGCACAAAAACCCTCCACAAAGGAATTCCAGAGGTTGAAGGGGGCTGCCGGAGGTGCATGGAAAGATGCCCGGCAGAGAGATCCAGGGGCAAATCCCAGGCAGGGCATCGGCGGGAGATTCCAGACAGATCGCAGGAAGGCCCTTTCCATACCACACGGCTGGAACTCGCTTCCCCAGGACGTCCTGATGTCCACCGATTCAGGTGACTTCGAAAAGGCAAGGCTGCATCCATGGAGGAGAAAGCGATCCATGGCTACTGATCCAGAGGGCCATGTGCCAACACCAGTCTCAGAGGCAGGGCACAGTTGCTGGGGAACATGGGCGAGAGGGTGCTGTTGCATCTGTGTCCTGCTTTTGGGCTCCCCGTGTTTCAACAGAACGCTGGCCTTAATGACTTGCTGGACTGACCCCACAACCACACTCTGGGCGATTGTCTAGGATAACCCTCCACTCACTTTCAGGCTGTGTGACACGGCGCCAGCAAGGGTGGACAACCTGCCATCGTCCAGGCTTTCCTGGACCCCTGGCCGTGTTGGCAGCTGCTGAGGGAACTTCAGCAGCCACTGTTGTCTGCGGCCGGAGGGCCCCCCAGCTTCCGTGCCTGTTTGCAAACGGCTTGTGCCGTCTGGACATCGCTCCTTGTGCCAAGCCAAAACGAACTTCCTCGCTCTTTCCACCTTTGGTTCTCCCGTCACTCCGTATTGTGTGTCTGCTGTGTCGTGGCTTTCTTTTTGGTGGGTGTAGGGGAAGGCTGCCCTTGTTGATTGTCGTTTTACAAAATCGTGCTAGCAGGAGCGACAGGCGCTGCCCTGGGTGCGAATGTTAATTGTGCAGAGCTGGGGAAGCTCCCAGAGCACCTGGCTCCTACCAAAGGTGGATCTGGCCATGCTGGAGCAGGACAAGCTGCCATGGCCTCTTCCAGCCTTCGGTACCTGCAGTGTCCAGGTGCAGCCCGGCAGTTCCTCCTGCTGGCCAGTCATGGTACTGCAGAGAACGCAGGCTCAGATGCCCCCGGAGACCCTTCCCTGGAAGAGCAGCAGCTGGGTCTATTTCGCAGGAGAAACCCTCTGGTCTGCCTGTGCCAAGGCGATGGTTCGGCTCTACCAGAAGCTGGGTCCTTATGAGATTTGGGGCCTGCCGGGTGTCCCAGGACGGCAGGCACAGGGCAGGACCATGGACAGCCCCCAAAATGCCCCCCCCACCCCAACTGCTCCAACAAGCAGCCATTTGTGGCTGAGCCTTAGGTATACTTAGGCTCCCGCAAGGCTGGTTCTTTCTGCCTTTCTCTTAGAAAGGGCCATCCCCTGTTACCGTGGGGAGTGTCCTGCTGGCAGGCGGGAGTGTGCGGGGACCCCGCTCAGGGCAGGAGAGAATCGAGCGGGACGTCGCACTTGCCCAGGACCACGTCCCGCCGCATGCCAGAGCCCTTGTTGAACACCTTGAGCCGCAGGCAGCGCCGGGACAGCTCCTGCAGGGAGACGCCCTCGAAGAAGAAGTCCTCGTTGAAGATGGGGTCGCGGCTCCTCTTGACCACGGCGCTGCGCTGCCTCGGCCCCGTCCCCGTCCCCGGGCGCAGCTGCAGCGAGACGCAGCAGTGGATGTGGCGTGGGTCGCAGTGGGGCGGGTAGAAGGCCTCGGCGCTGATCAGCCTGACGCGGAGGCAGCCCTGCGCCTCCAGGTACTCGCTGGAGAGCCTCAGGCGCCCTCCATGGCTCACCGTCAGCGTCACCTCCTTGGTGAGCCGCTCGCGGCAGCAGATCAGCTCCAGGGGGAAGTGCGGCACGGGGCCCCGGGCGGTGGCGGAGGGCCAGGGCGGCTGCGGCTCCGGCTCCCGCCGCGGGAAGCTGGGGCTCGTGTCCGTGGAGCTGGTCTCCTCCGCGGATAAGGAGCTGGGCCGGTGGCCGGCGCTGAAGTGGGTGGCGCGGCAGAGGAACTTCCGTCGGTGGTGCCCGTAGGCCTGGCAAGGCAGGTAGGGGGAGCGCGTCAGCAGCGGGGAGCCGTGGGGCGAGGTCTCGGTGGAGGAGGCCGTGTCGCTGTCCAGGGGGAACACGGGCTGGGACAGGGGCCGCGCGGGCGGCGAGGAGGAGCAGCGGGCGCTGCAGAACTGGTGCGGCGGGCGCCCCTCGTGGAAGAGCGACTCGCGCCGGCGCGTGTGCGGGCTCTCGGGCAGGAAGGCGAAGTTCATCGGGCTGGAGAGCTGCGGCATGGAGGCAGCGCTTTGGAGCCTCCCGCCCGGCCGGCCTTTCTCTGGCTCCGAGCTGCCCCCTCGGGCCGGGGGCTCCTTGGAGAGCTGTGCCGGGGCCTGGGGGCCCTCGAGGCCCTCGCTCCTCCACGTGCGCTGGCCCTGCGAGGTAGTCAGGTTGGGTGGGATGAAGAAAGCAGGGATCCTGTCCGGGGTCAGCACATTAGGGCAGGCTGGCCAGGGCTTGGGAACCTTCTTCCGGGAGAACATCTCAGGTCGGGTGCGGACGGAGGTGGGAGGACAGAGAGCAGCTCGGGAGATGGAGACCTGAAGGGCGAGCGGAAACTGATCCAGCTAAAGTCTCTCAAGCTGACCTGGCAAAAAGCAGAAGGAGAAAGAGATTTAGGTGCTGGCGGGAGGAACAAGCTGCCATGAGCAAGGTTAGCCCCATGTTGGAATTTCCTGCTCCAGCGTCAAGTGGTCAAGAGCAAATGCCGGTATTTTCAGATCTGCAGAAAGCAGGTTTGCGCTGCTTTTAACGTGTTAGTCTATTCATTTGCCCATTTTGTATCCTGGGTGCAGCTTATTTCCGTGGAGAATTCTCTTCTGCCGCCCTTCGTTAGTCCCCGCTTCAAAAAAAACCATCTCGTCGTCAGTCGCATCGAATGCAGTTGCAACACTTGGTCGCTCGAACTGCACGCATCGGACGGATGCATTTTGAAATCGCTGCCCTCTGCTATTATTTCCACCTCTCATCATTTGTGCCATTTTAAAGTCTTTTGTAGCCTCTCCCCGCTTTCTTCCCACCTAGTTTATGCACAGATGTGTTCTTCACAAAGCAAACTCTTTGCATTTGTGCAACTTTCACACTTGGCAATTTGTGCTACCAGCACGAAACCGAACCTCAGGCAAATCACCTTTTAAAAGTGGATATCCACAAACTGGCTTGGTTCCCGGCAGATCAGGATGGTCCCTTAGCAAGGAAACTGGAGTTAGGAAAATCAGATGCATTCACCCCTCAGAAAATGGCTTCCCTGAACAACCTTGGCGCTAGATACTAAAACCTGACCAATTGTTTTGTAGTTTCCTAGTTTCTCTGCAGTTCTCCCACTTCTGAACGCTTGAAGCATCTCTCGCGAGGCTTGGTGTCGGGCAGGAGCCAGTATTTTTGCCCTGCCCAGCTTGCTTTCAACCCCAACCAACTTTGGATGGAAGGGGCCCTTAACTCTTTCCTGAAATTGATTTCAGCCTCTGCACCGCAGCTTCACTTCTGCCCCAAGCCGATGCAAGCATTTCCCACTGCGTCATGATCTAACCACTAGGCACCACTGTCTTCAGCTCTCTTTCCTCTTCCCTTCCTCACACAACCCCTCACTGATTGCTACTCGTGTCACCCGATGAAAGTTCCCCCCCCACACACACACCACCAGCTTCTCGTCCACAAACCAGGAGGCCGATCGCAGCAAAAATAATTAAACTACAATAAAACATAAAAATGGAGGGAAACTCGACATGGTTCAGCGATCTCCACTTCCTCTTTGGAGAGAGACTGTTGCCATTGGCAAAAGCTGAAAGGTGAGGTTTGCACCTCGTTAGCCACCCAGTCGTTAGACCCACCGGCTGCTTGCCAGTAGCTTTTCGCTTCTGACGTTGCTCTGCTCCCCTGGACCCTAGGAAAAGTTTTAAAATGTCAGGAGAAGTAGCGGCGCACGGAAGCCAAAATCCTCTCTCTCGGACACACACACTGTCCGTGTAAGGGAGATGCATAGTTCCACATAGGGGGGCAAATGACTCCTGACCCACATATGGAGAAACCCTCTAACCTCCAAAAGATCTTCTTTCTCCCCAGCCTAATCACAGAAGATGAAAGGGGTCAGCAAGGATGAACTTATAAACACTTTCATGTTTATGTGCTAGACTGTTACCTCCCTTTTTCCTGCCAGGAACTCAAGGCTGCCTGTGTCACCTGTCAACTCCTTTCCATTTTATCCTAACAACAACCCTGTGAGGTAGACGAGATGGAGAATCAGGGACTGGCTCACAGCATCCAGCCAGTTTCCTGCCCAAAAGGGGACTAGAATCCAGACGCCCGGGTCCAACACTCAAAACTCTGCACCATGCTGACTATCAGCACGCTCAGAGGTCCTAGGAAGCAGGTTTCTGATCATGCGCAGAGTACTTTGCCAAGAGGCAGGCATGCTCCTTTGATGGAGGCAGAAGAGGTGCGAGGCAGATTAAATGAGGGTGTGGATAAAGGAAAAGGGGGCAGAGCTGAGAGGTCAAGTCCGAAACAGACTTAATTCTTCCATGGGGTGGGGATCGTACGAAAAAGCTGAGCTCCCACCCTGCCCCAATCAGTTTCAAAGTACTATAAGCCTCACTGTAGTTGAGACATGACTTATGAGGGCTCTATTTTCCTATGCAGCAACAGGATTAATTTAATTTAAAACATTTATACGCTGCCTATCTCACCAATGGCATCTCTGGGCAGCTAACAATCACATAATTAAAATCCACGACGAACAATAAAACCAGTCTAGGAGTTCCAAGTTTTAACCAGCCAGCCTTGCCCTCAGCTAGAATATTCCTTTCCATTCTCTCTATCAGTTTCCTGTTTCCAGCTCCTCAATAGACCCAGGCTCCCCCACCACCCTTGCGTCCCTCCGCAAGTTTGGGATGGACTCCCAAAAGCCAAGTTGGCCACCGCCTGCTCCTCTGTGCTCCCAGTTTGGCCGCGGTCCTACCGGCACCATCGCTTGCGCTCATTCTTGCACACGCTACGGAAGGAACCATCTGGCCCTTGACCAACACCGGGAATTTGCCTCGTACCCTTTCCAAGGGGATGTGGATTGCAACGCGTTCGGAGCATCCCAGTGTTTTGACAAAGGCGGCGCATTTCCGCTCGCGCTCCTTCCCTGCCCAAGACTGGTCCTTCCTCTTGCCAACAGCTGTGAACAGTTCCACAAACCTTTGCAACGGGATGGTCGGCACCAAGATCGCTTGGTGATGTGCGAGACGGTCCTGAAACTGGCCCCCCTTTCTGCTAAGCATGCGCATTTTTGCCCTCGCCCAGTACAGCGCTTCGCACATGCTTGGGAGAGAAGGCTTATCAGGCTCCGTGGCCTGAGGGACTGAACGCACCTAAGCAAACTCAAACCTCACACAAGGAAACCCATTCATCACTATGCACGAGCCCTCCGTGTGGAGGAGTGAGGCTTTCTCAGGAAAATCTGTTTCTATTTGAGAACAGAGAAGCATGCTTTTGGCCCTCCTGGTCACGAAGAGATACTTGCGAATCTGCAGAAAGTGCCGCCTGAAATCTCAAATGCCAGAACAGGATGTGTGTAGAGAAAGGAAAGTCAACGTTTAGTACCGTGCATAGCGTTAGCATGGGGAAAAACATGCTTGATGTTACAGACAGACACGCTTTTCCAAACACGAGAGCAACGCCTCTCTGCTCAGATCACTCATCCCGGGTTTTCTCGGCACGGACAGCCGCCCTGCAGAGCAGTTCCAACAGGAAAGCTCAGGAACACCGTTGCCATGTCCGACAACAAGCACGTGACCCGTCCCATCGCCAGAAAGCTCCCCCTTCCATTTGAGCAGAAAGCTGTGCTCCCAACCCAGCTGCCACGACAGAGCCAAGCAGCCCCCGTTACCTGCCATGGTTCCCCGTCCTGCTTTCACCCCCTTGCTTGGCTCGCACCCCTCTCCTTGCTTCCTCGGTGCTCCGGGAGACCAGCTGGCTCCATGCGGGGCTCCCTCTTTCTGCTGTTTACACCTAGAGCTTTCCCACGTCACGGCTCTGTTCCTTGCCACGGCGCTCTCTGGACCATGGAAACAGCCACCCACAAGAGCTCGGGAGTGCTAGAATCAGTTCAGGATAAAATACCTTGGAGAGGACAAAACCGGATCGGAGAGAGCAGGACGGCATCGCCGAAACACGACCAAAACATGACAGCTCTGCTCAGCCCGGGAAGCACTGCGATTTCCGACGGTTCGCTCTTCGCCCAGTTCCTTCTTGGACTGAGACGTTCTTTGCTGATCGTGTCTTTTGGCAAGGTGCCTTGGCCCTGTTAGCTTTGGTTTTGCTTGGAGAATCAGTACAAAGGAACCATTCTTCCCAGCAAAGCCAAGCGCTGGCCACACACTTCCAAGCGTAAAAGCCCTTCCTGTCCCTCTCCCTCTCCTCTAACACGTTACAGGTTTCCCAGTCCTGGAGCACCGCTGCAGAACGACCCGTCCCTCTGGCCTGACGTGCTTCGGGGCAGCCCCTTTCGTTCAGCTGACATTTCGACAACTAGAGCAGGAGACCAGAATGTAAATATTGTTGACACGGAAAGGAAGCGATGAGGACGAGGAAGGGGGCCCTGCTTATAGGGCCGGTTTGCTGGCTTTGCCCATTCCTGCAGGGTGGCCCCAAGAGGCCCCCGGAGCAACAGCGGTTCTGCAGCCCTGTGGAAGGGCCAGGCAGCTCCATCCGCACATGAACTCTGTGTGTGCTTTGAGGTGACGTTGCCCTCAGGCCAGCTCAACAAGAGAGCCGGTGCATGACATAACAGACCGTTGTAATGCCCTCTTGTGTGGCTGTCCTTGAAGACAGTCCTGACACTTCAATTGGTTCAGAACAGGAGCAACCAGGATATTAACAGGGAGTGGCAGGGAAGGCACCCGCAACGCCAATCCTTTATCATCTACACTGGCTGCCAATTGAAGTCCGAGTCCAATTTAAGCGCTGGTGATGACCTACAAAGCCCTAAACAGCCTAGGACCGAGATGTTGGAAGGAGCGCCTCCTTCCCTATGTGCCTGCCCCCCCACCCCAAGATCTGGGTCGCAAGTCCTCCTTCGAGAGCCCTCCTTGAAGCAGATTAGGAAGGTGGCTACCCGGAAAAGGGCATCTTGGTGGTGGCACCCCAATTGTGGAATTCGCTCCCCAGAGAGGTTCGCTTGGCACCGACTCTGTATTCTTCTCGGTGCCAGGCTAAAACCTAACACCCATCATTTTAAAAGTTGATTAGGCTTCATTGTGCTTTTATTATTGAATGCTTTACTTCATTTGTGTTCCACTGTCCGTCCTGAGACAGTAGTAGTTGGATGGACACAACATTTTTAAAGAAATAAATTAAATATACTGGACTGAGCCTTGGGAGCCTGCAGTGGGGGTCCCCATATGGACATGGAGGTTACTAGATGATGGCCAACACTGACCAACACGCCCTGCAGGTTTCCTACGAGGATAAAACAGAGGACCACCCTGGCACGGATCTTTGAGTATAAAGCACATCAACCAATTCAGCACAACTTCAACAAGGACCAAGAATGGAAAAGGAGGCCCAAGCTGCGGCTGTAAAGCAACTTTTGCCCTCCTGGCTCCCCCTCCGGGATTTTGACCCCCAATTCCTCCTTGGAGAACATACAGCCAAGCTCTGTCAAAACCAGGCTTGGCTGCAAGAAAAGCAAAACGCTCCATCTTAAGACTCTTACTCAGCCTGGCCTACCTGAGAGGGCTGTTGTGAAGATAAAATGGTTCCTGTATTACAGGTGTGCCTGTGGGGAGAGATTAGCTTGGAAAGAACCGTTTCGAACCCTCCTGGGCTGCTTGGATGAAAAGCCAAGTTCTAGGAACACCTCTCGCAGTCGAATTGCACAATGGAAAACCGCAGCTACGGCGAGATCAGATCGCAGCCTTGCCCTCCCGAATGTCAAAGCCCATTTTGCGCTGGGAGTCTTTTTTCATAGCAGCAGCTGCAGTCGCAAGCGGAAGAGACCTGCCCCTTCCTCAAAGGCTGTTTGTTTCGCAGGCCTGGCTGAGCAAGCAGGTCTAAGCCAGGGGAACAATCTCCGTCAGCGTGACAGGAGTGTCTGTACTCTGGGGATTATCCTGGAAATCCGAGCAGCTCTGTGAAAGAGGCAATAGCTACTCAGCGCTCAACGAAACAGAATCAGCAGGCCGTGGCTAGGTGGAGTTTGCACCTGAGGCTTTCTCCCAGCTTTCCTGGGAGGAAACGGCCACCGCAGAGCATAGAAACAGAGTGAGTCAGAAGGGGCACCCGAGCCATCTAGTCTGACCCCTGGCTCCAGCCGGCTCTGCTCACAATGAACAGCAATGTCAGTTTTCTTTGCATTGCCTTTGTGTCCGGGTAATTCCCAACAGCAGTGAGGAAAAAATCATGGATCATCGGCCGGTATGTCTGAGAACAGAGTGGAACCACCGCCGTTGAGATAGCTGTATGGTCCCAAATGGAGCAGATGTGAAGATCCAAGACAGATACTGATCACGCTAATATTTTTAAAAATGATGCCCCATGCTCCTTTGTGAAAGCTAAACTCAAGTCAGCTGAGAAAGCACAAGTTTCCAGTTGTGACGAAAACAGCTCAAGGTGGGCAACCGCCGGTGGGTGGCCTGAAAAGGCAGGCGGGAGGGAACTCAGCTGTAAAAAATGAAATAGGAAACCCAGCACAGTGACTGAAGGCTCAAAGCGGGAGTTTTGGCAGGGCTTCTCAACAAAGCTCAGCCAGCGGCTCATATCGCGGCCGTAGGAGACGCCTCCACGCTGCAGGCCATGGTCCTGATCCTCCCCGTTCCAGGCTACGCACGACGATTCTGCACAGCAGCTGCCTGGCAGGTCGTGGAAGCTGGGGTGCCTCAATAGCCAACCCTGTTGGCCCAGTTAAAACCACAGTGTGGAAACTGGAATGCCCTCTGTTGGCCACGCATCTGAACTGCAGCATCCTCATTCACCTGCGGGTGAACCTGGGGGGCCCCCTAGTGGCCGACACCATGCCTCCCGATCCCAGAGCTCAGGTGAGGCTGCCCTCCTGTGGCCGAGGTGGTGCACTGCAACCTCTTGATTCTGGTAGCCCAGTTAAGACCAGGGCCGTCTTAACGCGTGGGCCTGATGGGCACTTGCCCGTGGGACCCTTACTAATCTGTGTATGTTAACCCTTGGAAAATTGGAAAACTCCCAAACTTAACAGCAGTTGTAGTTGTCCCAGGGGCCCCAGGACACTGCTTTGCCCGGGGCCCATAATACTGTTCAGACGGCCCTGGTTAAGACACACTACCAATGAAACTAGGTCTGGCCAATTCTCTGAGAAGCAACTATTAAATGATTTGCTAAATCAATTGCCAATTTAAGAAACAAAATCACACCTTCAATGTAAGCCTCAGGGAGGGTCAGCTGATATAGTCCAAATAAGAGGGACAGCAGTGCTTCAGTTGCCAAAGGAGAAAGTGTGTGCGCGCACACATTTTAAAAGGTAGAAACTGAATGCAGGCAACCCAAAACCACAAATTGCATCATCTGTTGAAACCTGCCCTCCGGCCTGTTCGCATTCTACTTGGTGCCACTCCAGGAACCAACTGGAAGATTCTCTCTTCTGTTTCACACTCAGGAAGCACCTTCTTAGATTTGATGGGTGAGAACTACGCACCATTTTCGGGCCAGCCAGCATTACGCTGGTTTCAGTTCATTCTGGATCAAGGCTGATCTTTCAGACCAACATGGGATTCAGACACAATTTGCTGGCTGATGGCACACAACACACATTGCACAGTATGTTTGCAATGGGGTGTGTATCCCCCTCACACAATCCTGGCCAACACTGGAGTAACGTGCCCAAAACATGAGTACTTGGGGAAATGCTCCTGATCCGGATCCAAAGAAAGAGCCTGGAACAGCACAGGGTGCCCTCTGGTGGCCAATTCTATGAATTGCAACCTCCTCATCCCATTCTGCTGCTTAAACTCAGGTGCCCCCCTGTGGCCAACTATGAACACTGCAGGCTACTGATTCTATTAGCCTAATTAAGATCTCTGTGCTGAAGTTGGGTGCCCTCTGGTGGAGAACACTGAGCATTACACCCTGTTGGTGTCCGTTGTCCTGGGAATTCAGCGCTGCAACTCTTAAGACAGAATCCTATTGGAAGTGCCTCGTGGTGGCCTTGGTTTGAGGAAGCAATTGCAGTCCAAGCTGTATCGCACTTTAAATTCTGCCTGGAAACAGACGGGTAACCAGTGAAGCTCTTTCAAGAAGGGGATTGTATGCTGGTAGGAAGAGAAATGAGCATAATGAGTTTCTTTTATGTCACACCCAAAGCGGAAGCTCTCTGGGTGGCTCACGACAGTTGCAAAAGCAGACTCTGGACATCCTGCAGCTTGCTCCGTCCCCAGAAGGAGTTCGCCACCGTGGGCCATCCTGGATCGCTCCTGCAGGACTCCAGATAAAAGCTGGCTCGTTGAATCCAGCCTCCTCTGAGCTTTCCACAGCAGAAAAGGTTGAAGCGCAAGCCTGTTGGCCTTCTTGGCTCCCTGCCCTGGAATGGGGACCCAAATCCTTCTGGGAGACAGTTCAGCCCTCAAGCTGAAAAAGGGTTCAGCCACCTCTGCCTGGCAAGCTAGACATGAAGAGGCATCTGTGAGAGCAAAGCAGCTCGCTCCGTTCTCTCCGGCTCACCCAGGCCGGCTACTCACCTGAGGTGGTCAATGTTGAGGTTGGCCGTCACGATCAAGCCAACAGAACCGATGGCACACGCCCCAAGGTTGTTGTCAAGCATGGCAGCGATCGCCCCACCAGGAACAAGACTGCGTGGGAGGAGAGAAGAGTCAGAGAAAATTCCTCTCCATTCTACTTCTCAGGTCATCTCTGGCCTTCAGCAAGGTTCACAAGTACTGGAGACAGGGCCTCCTTGGTGCCAGCCCCATGGAATTTCCTCCTAAAACGTACACAGCTGGCCCCGCTGGCCAAGAGAAACCCTGTTTTCCTGGCCTTTTAAAAATGGGTACTCATTGCTGCCAACAGATACTTTCAAACTGTTACGGGTTTAGGAAAAGTCATTGAGATTGAATAGGGTTTGATGCGTGTGTTCAGCCCATTATTATTATTATTATTATTATTATTATTATTATTATTATTATTATTATAACATTTCTATGCCGCCCCTTGCCAAAGCCTCGGGGCAGCTTACAACACAATAAAATACAATACAAAAATAACAATATAAAATTAAAATTAATAATATAAAATAAATACAAATCTATGCACTGAACTTTCAGGAGAGCTTCCATCATATTGTGAACCTGCTCAACCACAGGACTGCCGTTCAACCTTAATACCCAAAATTCAGGCCTCACCTGTGCCACCTTTCTGTCACCGGAGGCGGTGGTATCATTCTGCCTTGCGCTGGGGCTGGCGCTGAAGCCATGTGCGGCCTTTCCTGGCCAGGAGCCAGAAAGGGAATGCTTGATGGATCCCGTCCAGAGGGTGAGAACACTTTGTTCCAGATGTTCCAGAGCACAAGCTCTCCCCAAACAGAGTTCACCGTGGCAGATCCTGACACAAATCTACCAGCCTTCCCTAGCAAAGATCTAAATCGCTAACGCTCTCCGGGAAACCTGACAGGGCCACAACTGGGGAAGTGACTTTCCTCAGCCTGGTAGAGGCAAGGCCACAGACCTGCCATCTCTCTCCAACCTGCCAGGGATTGCCCAAGCTTACCCAGGTGCTCCCTCCAGGTAACGTCCTGGCTGGAAGATGGACACCATCCTTTTCTCGGACCCATTGAAGAACAGGGCGTATTCAAAGCCCACTCCTTCTGTATCCATGTTTCGGAGGAACATACGGGTACCATCTGGGTTCTTTGCCACGGACTCTTTCCTTACCCATTCTGGGAACAAATGGAGGAAGGAGGAGGTGAAAAGCAAAATAATTTGATGTGGGAGATTCAATCTGGGTCGAACAATGATAGATTACTCAGCATTAAGGATAGGAAAGTAAACCTCTCAGATTCGCTGAACACCAGCTTGAATCTTGTCTCCACTGAATCTCTATACAAAAACGGTAACACAGCTCCATCTGTGCAAATTTCCTTGACTTCCCTTCCACCCCAAAGGCACAAACTGTAGAATATTTTAGAGAAAGAAGTCTACAGAAAAACTCCAGCTCAGCTACTACCATCCATCTGCTCCGAGCCAAAGAAAAAGCCCCTCACACTAAAACAAATCGGGGTAGCCTCTCTGGGAAAGACTTTCTGCCCCTGGAGGGCCACCACCAAAGAGGCCCTTCTCCTTAGCACCCACCAGCCCTATTGTTCCATGAGAGAATCAGGAGAAGGGCCCCTCTTCCATGAGGACATGTCGTGAGCAGAGCCGGGGGTCAGACTAGATGGCCTGGGAGACCCCTTGTGACTTGCTCTGTTTCTATGTTTCCTGCAATGAAGCGCCGCTGGAGGCTTGAAAAAAGTCTTACAACAAAGTCTTAGGAGGAGGAGAGGAAATCTCCCAACCCCTGAGCCAACCCAAGGGCAGCTGGTGTGCATTCCCTGAAGGGCAGGAAGGCTGCATGCAAAATGTCTAACTAGAAGGACGGATGGACAGACAAGGACCCTTGCCTGGAACATCATTGTGGAAGTGCCTCGAGTTCGGTATCCTTCGCCATGTCCCGTCTTTCGACATCTCCATAAATCTCGCAAACTGTTTCAACATCTCCTGGCTCCAACTCAAGCTGGGGAGGCAAAAATCCTTTGTCTCCTGGACTGGCAAAACGGTCTCTGAAAATTGATTCAAAAGTACAACATGGGTTTAGGAGATGGCTCCTCATATACAGAATTCTACATGAGCAGCAGAGCAGCAGAGGCACCGGCTGGGGGAGAGGGCTGAGTGGCCAAGCGAAGGCAAGGCAGGAGCTGGGCAGGGGAACAGGGGGCCAGGAGCAGCGGAGGGGAAGGGCATCGTCCCTTGGCCACGGCCCGGGCTGTCCGGAGACTCCCTTCCCTGAGACACAGAGGTTTGATTGTTTGTTTTGTGTGTGCTGTGCTTTGCTTTTCTTCCAATTTAAATTTATCTTATCCTTGTGTGTGTGCGCGAGTGGTTTTTTGTCTGGGAGAAGTGGGCGAGTGAGAGGAACTGCAGGACAAACAAGGCGGGGGACCAAGGAAGGGTCTCGGAAGGGAACCCGATGGCAGACCAGGAGATGGCCTTGGCGGGAGTCACGGGTGTTGCTGTCCGCTGCGACAGCTGCGACATGTTCGCCCTTCTCCCCCAGGAGAGGCAGGGATACACTTGCCCTCGGTGCAAGATGGTGACCCTGCTAGAGGAGAAGGTGAGGGGCCTGAGGGCCGAGAGAGCCCTCCAGCCCCCAGGAGCAGCCCCCCTCCGGACAGAGGGTTGAGGGGGCACGGGAGGAGCAGCCGGGGAGCCACGGAGGCAGGTCACCCACAGGCGCGGGAGGCCAGCATGGCCTCCTCCTTCCCTGGCGCCGATCTGGAGCTGGGAAGCAGGTTCTCTCCACCTGGGGAGGCTGGGGCTGATGAGGCCTCGGGGGACCAGCAGGACCCCCAGCCTGGGACGTCAGGCGGCAAGGGGGCCGCTGCAGGAGAGGCGAGGGCCAGGGCACGGCCGCCCACCAGCACCGGGAAGGTACGGCAGCGGGTGATTGTTGTTGGGGACTCCCTGATGAGGGGCACTGAGCCGGCGGTGTGCCGCCCCAACCTGGAGACAAGGGAGGTCTGCTGCCTGCCGGGCGCACGCATCCAGCATGTGAAGGACAGAGTGGAGCGTCTTGTTCGCTCCGGGGATCACCAGCCGCTCCTGGTGATCCCTGTGGGCACAAACGACGTGGCCAGGCAGGGTGCAGTTGGGACCACCAGGGACTTAGAGGCCTTGGGGAAGAAACTCAGGGAGCTGAAGGCCCAAGTGGCCTTCTCGTCAATCTTACCTGTCCGGGGATTTGGGCCAGGAAGGGACAGGAGGGCCTCCGAGGTGAACGACTGGCTTAGGGTGTGGTGCCAGAAGGAACGCTTCGGGTTCCTTGACGATGGCACTCGTTTTCTTGCCAATGGACTTCTAGCAAGGGACGGGTTACACCTCACGAGGATGGGGAAAAGGTCCTTTGGAGATGCTCTAGCAAGCTTCGTCCAGAAGACTTTAAACTGAGCCGGGGGGGGGGGGTTCAGGCCCCCCAGGAATGTGTCTGCACTGGACAAGTGTGGCGGGAGGATCAGGGCTCTGGGAGCAGGGTTTTAGAGGTACTGCAGGGACTGACAGGACTCCTACAGAGAGGGGCCAGGTATCAGGGAGGATGGGAGGAAGGAGGAGGATGGGAGGAAGGAGGAGGCTGGGGACTCCAAGGAAGGGAAGCGGTGGGAAGGGGTTGAGGTGCATGTACACCAATGCTAGGAGCATGGGCAATAAGCAGGAAGAGCTGGAAGCTCTCCTGGGAATAGGAGGGTATGACCTGGTGGGAATCACAGAAACTTGGTGGGATGAAGGGCAAGTCTGGAATGTGAACATAGAAGGGTATCACCTTTTTAGAAAGGACAGGAAGGGAAAGGGGTGGGGGCATGGCTTTATACATCAGGGAAGGGATAGGATGCAGTGAGATAGAATGCAGCACAGATGGGGATCCAGTAGAGGCAGTCTGGGCGAAACTTAGGGGTTTTGACAGGGAAAGAGACCTGACAGTGGGGGTATGTTATCGCCCTCCAGGTCAACTTGAGACCCTGGATGATGTCCTGACAGGCCAGATTCTAAGGATATCTCGGGGGAGAGACACAGTAATTATGGGAGATTTCAGTCTCCCGGATATTACTTGGGAGACTCACTCGGTGGTGACAGCCAGGTCACGTCGCTTCCTAGAAGCTATAGAGGGAGGGTTTTTTACACAGAGGGTCTGATAGGCGACGAGGGGGGAAACATCCTTGACTTGGTCTTGACTAATAGGGAGGAGCTGATAGATGAAGTACAGATTAGGGGAGCTCTGGGTGCGAGTGATCACTCCATCCTTTGCTTTGAGATCAGGGGACTGGGGACGTGCAGCAGGTTGAGCACTAGAAGCTGGGACTTCAAGAGGGCCAACTTTGGCCAACTGAAGGCCAGACTGGGGAAAGTCTCCTGGGTTAGGTTACTGGAAGGTAAGCGAGTTGAGGAGGGGTGGATAGCACACAAAAGGGAGGTTTTGGAGGCGCAAGCCTTGATGATACCTCTAGTCAGTAAGGTGGGGAGGCGGAGGAGAGCACCGCCATGGATGCGAAAGGAGGTGGTTGGAGGGATTTAGACGAAAGAGGAACCTCCGTAGGAAATGGGTACTGGGGGAAACAGACAAAAGGATATAGCGGGAGGAGGAGGCCAGTTGCAGGAGGATTCTTCGCAAGGCTAAGGCTGATTACGAGCTGAGACTTGCCAAGAATATCAAGAGCAACAAAAAGGGCTTCTTTCAGCATGTAAATAGGAAGAGGAAGGGGAGACAAGTGGTGGGACCACCAAATAAGGAGGAAGGAGATCCAGTGACTGATAAGAGGGAACAGGCACAGATGCTAAATGACTATTTTGCCTCTGTGTTCTCCCCAAAGCAGGATGGGGGAGATCCGCATAGGAGATTAGACGAGGCCGGGGACTTAGGGGCACAGATTAGAGTCACCCCCCTTGAAGTTGACGGGCTCCTCAGGGCATTGGACATTACAAAGGTTACACCCGAGAGTACTTAGGGAGTTGGCAGGGGTTCTCTCTCGCCTGCTGGCCTCCATTTTTGAGACCTCATGGAGAACGGGTGAAGTTCCAGAGGACTGGAGGGTGGCATCAGTGGTCCCAATTTTCAAAAAGGGTAGTAGAAGGGACATGGGGAATTACAGACCTGTTTGCCTTACATCCAATGTAGGAAAAACAATGGAAAGGCTCATAATAGAGAGAGATCTAGTGATGCTAGATAGGGAAGGGAGGCTGGCAGCCACACAACATGGCTTTTGCAAAAACAGGTCTGCCAGACAAACCTTGTGGAATTCTATGGCAAGGTTTCGGGATGGCTAGATGGAGGGGATGCAGTGGATGTGGTATACCTGGATTTCAGCAAGGCCTTTGACAAAGTGCCCATGATATCCTGGTGGAGAAACTGAGGAGTTTTGGGATACACCAAAGCACTGTCTGGTGGATTAGGGCATGGTTGACTGACTGAAAGCAGAGGGTAACCATTAACAGGGAATCACTGGGATGGCGGCCAGTGACAAGCAGGGTCACTGGCCGCCCTCTTTAATCTTTTCATTAACGACATGGAAGAAGGGGTGAACAGTCTGCTGATCAAATCCGCAGATGACACTAAAACTGGAGCAGTGGCCACAACTGAGGAGCAGGTACTCCAGATCCAAAAGGATCTGGACAGACTATGGAAGTGGGCAGGAGACAACAGGATGGCGTTCAATGTGGATAAGTGCAAGGTCTTGCACTTGGGGCACAGGAATGGGTGTCATAAGTACGGGTTAGGGGACAAGTGGCTGGAGAGCAGCACTTGTGAAAGGGACCTCAGGTGCTGGTTGACTGCAGGCTAAACATGAGCCAGCCGTGTGATGCAGCGGTCAAGAGGGCGAACGCCACCCTTGGTTGCATAGCCAGAAGCGTGGCTTCTAGATCAAGAGAGGTATTACTGCCGCTGTATACGACTCTGGTGCACCCACAACTGGAGTATTGTGCTCAGTTCTGGGCCCCTCATTACAGGAAGGATATAGCCAGGTTGGAGTCAGTGCAGCGCAGGGCCACAAGGTTGGTGGCCGGTTTGCAGGGGATGCCGTATGAGGCGAGATTGAGGGAACTGGATCTCTGCAGCCTGGAGGAGACTCAGAGGGGGCGACATGCAGGTATGTGAGGGGGTGTCACACGGAGGTGGGGAGAGACCTGTTCTCCCCTGCAGAGGAAGGCAGGACACGCTCCAGTGGAGCCAAGCTCAGGGAACCCAGGTTCCCTTTGGATGCCAGGAAGCACTTCCTGACAGTCAGGACCCCGAGGGTGTGGAATGGGCTTCCATGGGAGGTCATTGACGCCCCATCGATGAGGGTGTTCAAGGATAGGCTGGACGTCCACATCGTGGGCATGTCAGGAGCGGAGCTGGCTGGTGCCGGAGGTCAGACTAGATGGCCCGGGAGGCCCCTTCTGACTCGCGCTGTTTCTATGTTTCCAGACTGAACCCGGTTATCCTGTACTGTGGCTGCCATCGAGGCTTCCCCACAGGTTTAAATCACTCTTGAAGTCCTCCCTACTTTAAGTACAGGAATTCACTAACAAAATATCCTTGCCAAAGGAAATTCGGGTTGTACGACAGGCTGCTTGCTGGAGGCACGCTCTATTTCCCCTTAGTCCAGCAGGAAAATTGTTTGAAATCAAACTCAAGGCAAAAGAAACCAAGCCTGTCTTATTTCATGCATATAAGAAATGTACTGGCCATATGGAAAGTCAGAAAAATAATTAGGGAAACATTTGCAAAATGGAAGGCTTCAGAGATAGATCCCGTTAAGAGCCGTGGCTAATGCCCAGCTTCAAGAAAAACATGCAAAACTTTTACCTGCATCAGCAAAACGCATCTTCTGTCTTCCATCTTTGATTATTTGTGTCCAGTGATATCAACAGCAGTATGTCTAGATAGTCTGATGCCAAAACTTTTTTTACTAAATCAACATCACACAGGAACACAATAGGTATTTGAGCAAAAGCAGTTGCATTATTACAAGCTTGCACTGCATTCTACCAAAATCTCCCCACCCCAGGTACACAATGAAAACTGCATCCATTTCTAACCATCACAGACACACAACTTAGGCCAGAGGTGACCCATACAACACACCCACAAAGCCCTTGCCCCCTGCCTTGTTCAAAAGTTTTTCTTAACGCCGCCTTGAAAATTTTCGGGCCGTCTACTCCCTTTCAAGCCTCTACGCTTGCTCTTCCCCCTCTCCACCCCTTTGCGCCCCTGCTGTTCCCCGCCTCCGGTTTTGCGTGGCTGTTCCTGCCCCCTTCCAACCCCCAACAGCATGTTATTTCTCCCAGCCCCACAACCTGCCCCTCCCTTCCACCCGCAAGCCTTGCATTTTTCTCCCTCATCCCTCTTCGCTAATTTTTGACAAGCGAGGTTCCCATGACCCCCATTAAAAGATCGGCCACCTTCTCCGCGAGAGGCATTGTCCGCTGCTTCCCACACAACGATTTCCTGAATCCTCACGTGTGCCCAAAGGTCTGAAAGAGCTCCCTGGTGGATGCACGCCAGCATTTAAGAAACGTACACAAAAACAGGGGTACGTTTTAGTGCAGAAATCCAGATGCATTAGGACTAGTCAAGTGATCACTGTAAGCCATTCCAAGGAGCTTTTCTCATGCGCTTAATAGACAAGAATGCTCTAGATCAAACCGGCACCGGTTCCTGCATTTCCACACTTGCGGTGTAAGAATTACAAACACAGAAATGTAAACAGTTTTCCTGCCTAGTGGGGCTACTCAGCTTTACACCTTATATAAAGGTAAAGCTGAGTAGCCCCCCAATCTTGGGGCAACATCCTAGCTTCTAATACAGATGCTCAAATCAGCCAAGCTCAGCTTTCCCTGAAGTTCACCACAAAGCTAATACTGATTTAAAACCACTGCAGACTGCAAGCTTTTTCTTCTTGCACGAAGGTTTGTACATGTGCACACCGGCGGTGCATTTTTGCCATGCACACATCCAACTGTCTCTATGCGCGTTTTTCAAATGCATGCATGTTAACATGTTTGTCTCTAGAATCACTCCTGGGGACATATGGAGCTTTGGTGCAGATCAAACCTAAGTCTGCCTTCCAGACCAAACACAAACCGGTTAATCCTCATCAAAACTGAAGCAAATTGATCTAGCTTCTAAACCAGTCCTTTCCCTCCTTCCGCAGGAGCTTCCTGTGGTGCCGTTATTCACATTGTTGGCCTGCACCTTGAATCGGGGCCAGGAGACCTAGCAGCCTCAGCCAGCCGTGCCCAATGTTAAGGCACTCAGCGAGTTCTAGTTTCAACTGTCTAGAAAACACTAGCCTTAGAGAAGGCTAAGCTACCTTTGAAACTGGTGCCTCTAGGAAAGATGTTTACATACTAGAGATTTCATATATTGTTTGCATTAGCCGAGTGGCTTTCTAGTTGAGTTACGATAAAGATTAACAAAACCCCGGTTCTGATCCTGCCTCTCCCACGGCCACTGAATCCCTGAGTGATGCAACACACGAGTCCGGGGGCCAGTAAAGGAAGCAAGACTGGGATTACTGCAGAAATGCTGCAGCTGGAAACTCAAGGTGAATCTGGACAGAGCGGCTTGGGAAAGACATGCAAGGAATCCTGGAGAAGCTGGTCCCACTTACCTAAAGTGACAGCAATCCGGTACCACATTCCCGGGTGAGACAGACCACGGGTCTGAGCCAAGACGTGGCTGAGCCAGCGAGGTTCAGGGACAAGGCTTCTGTCCTCACCGGACACATGCCTGGACTGACGCTATAGCACTTAGCAGAAGCTAGAGGGAATATTTCCCAAGACACCCATTTTTTTTTTTTTTAGTAGGGACACGGGTTCCCTGGAAAAGTTACATGTCCTAAGGGGGTAGGAATGTAGTGTGCCATTCCAAACACCACTGTGGAAAAGAAACGGGAGAAGCATGCCAGAGAAGAGAGTACAGGAGACGTACTGTTTGTACCGAAGGCAAGTATTACGAAATCCAAATTGCAATCCAGGGAACTACATCACAGCACTAAAAAAAATATGGCTGCTCTCAAGCACACGCACCTAACCGGAACCTCATCTTCAACGCAAAACCAACTTATCCAACACAGAAATAATGCTGTTTAGTAAATGAACAAGAACCCTTCTATATTTACTAATCTGTTTTATTTGTTCAAACATGGCACAGAGTTACTTCAGGTGAAAATGGTCTCTTCTCACTCTCCATTTCCTGCCTCCATTTCCCCTTCGATCAGGAAGCGCATGTCTAAAGCAACATGAATGCAAACACTGAAGGCAATTTCTTCACCTCAGGTGAGCATTCCCGACATAACTAGCTTCTTGCAAACCAATCTTAATGGGCCCCACATTGGCAAAATACCCAAATGCCACATCCCCAACACACGGTTGTGAACGATTCTCCACCACAGAAAGGCATGTCGTTTGTAGGTTCTACTGGCGCTTGCAACTTCCTGCTTCCGAATCTGCCCACAGGTGAGGCCAAAGCAGAGCGCTGCGGGCATCACTTGGAAGCATTATAGCATGGAGCTGCCTTTGACAAACTGGTCTTCTGGAACCCACCGAGAACATAAATAAATTGACAACTGAACATTCAAGCCGGCTGTTCTGTTTGGATTTAGGTACGGCAGCTTATCTCCCTTGCTGGTTTTTTTGTATCTTGAAGGGCCCTGGGCCTGTTGGAAAATGGATCACAGAACACACACTCTGTGCTTGCAATAAAAACACCCCACAGTGAGTGAGCTTAGAGACCCCCATGAAGACAAATATATCATGCTGCCTATCAGTTTCTCTCTGAACAGTAAACACTTTTTTCAAGACTTTTATCTATCCCAACAGAGAATGAGACAGGTTAAGTGCTGATAACACACATTCTAATTGGTCCAACTATTCTTCTCTGGAACCGCCGCTTATCTGGCATACCAAAAGTGGTCTGTGTTTCAGAATCAGAGCATCCATACAGCTGTTGCCCTGGGAGGGCTTCCTTCCTGTGGAAGGGAAGACATGCTGCAAAGGAGGTGGGAGGACTTGCAAATCCAAGGGAAATGTCCAGAAGAAGACCTGAAGACCCTTGCACAGCTACAGAAGGCCAGCCTGGCGTGCCACTGGCCCGATAACACTGTTTGAAAGCACAGCCTGGTAGCCAGACACACGGAACCTCGGCCAGATTCCTGCACTACTCGTGCCAGGTAACAAAAATATCCCAGGACCAACAGAAAACTTGGCAGATTTTGGGAGGGGGGAGCAGAGGTGCTCGTCGGGTTCCAAACTAGCACAACAAGCCAGAAAAGCTGGTTCAGGGAGGGACGAGTTGCTCGCTCCAGAGGTGGGAGACACCTGGACCAGCCAGCTGAGGGGCTCTGCCCAGGTTAACTGGCTTCAGGTGAGGAGCTCGTTTCCGCCTGGGTGCTTGGACCCTGCTCGTTGCTGGAGGGTTTCTTGTCCTGCACTTTGATGAAGAGACCTAAAACCACGAGAGTGGGAGAGAGAGAACAAAATTAGTAACTTGGCCAGTTGGCATATGCTTGCGTCTCTGTTAAGGGAGACTCCACTCAATGACCTTGCCAAGTTGGTCATGGGATCTTTGGGGGGACGGGCGGGGGAAGTAAGGGCAGTGAAATTTTCTAAGGAATTCCTCAGGGGTAGCAGGGGTGGGGGGTATGAGATGAATGTATTTCCTGCAAGGCCACTGAATTAAAATTAAAATTAAAACCTGGACAGCTAATACATTTTTTCCAAGACCTCCAAACATGTAGGGATTAGAAGATGTTTCAGAATCCAGTGCGAGGAGGTAACAGCTCAGAAATCAAGAAGGGAGAAGGGGAAGGGTTTCCAAGTCGAAACCTGCTGAGGCCTGCAAGAGCCCGAAAGGTTGCCCACACTTGGCTCTGCTCGAGGAAAAGGCCGCAGTGTTGGCGTCCAGGCATTCCTCTTGCGTGTGGTTCCTTCTATCAAAGCCACGCGCAAAGTGGGGGCGCAGAACAAATTTGGTCAATGAGGGCGCAATTCCTCATATCTGAGCACCAGCCTTGCTGGGTTAAACACCCCAACGCCATCCCACAGCGCAGGCAGTCCCTCTGACTTGCTGCAGCTGTTCATCTCTTCCCACCTACTCAATTATTTGATTTATAAAACTACATCCAATAGTCCCAGACAGGACTCCCTAGGCAGCATACATTCCTCAACAATATCACATAAAATTGTACCACAGAGATTCATTTTAAAAGACTGTTAAAATATAATCTATGAAAACCTAAGCTAATACTAATCAGGTTTCCACATGGTGCTTTAAGAACCTTTGTTCTCAGTCAGAGCGGTGGATAATTCACGGGGGGTACCTACCGCTGGCCTCCGCATAGAGGGTCTGCCCATCCAGGCTCTCCACCTGACCGCTCGTAAACAGCTTCCGGCCCTCCATCCGGTCCAGCCTGCTCTTCACCAGGACCACGGAGCCAAGGGGGAGGGGGCTGAAAGGGGAGACACGGGGCTGTGGGATACGGCCTCCAGCTTCGCAACCAATGCCCTCCTGCTGCTCCTAACCGGCAGGTCCTGTCCGCAGCCGGGGAGAAGGGACACGGATCTGGCCGGAAAAGCAGACCACGAGGAGAGGCATGTTCAGAGCCAACAAGCCGTTCCGGCAGGATTCTTAGCCAGAGGACTGAGCCAGGAGCAAACCTAGCCCTGGGCACACCAGGAGGATGGCTCAGGCAAAGCAGTCTGGACTTGGGCTTTGATCTGGATCGCAGCCTCTATGTAAACATCTCCTCTGTTCAGCGAAGGATGAAATTGAAAGCCCACAAGGGCCTGGAGCAGTGGAGGCAAGCAGCGGCCCAGATGGAGCCTCTTCTCGGCCATGTCCCACCTCAAACTCTTACCCCTCCCCCATTCCTGCGTACTTAAATACCTGGATCCACTTACCTCTTATAGTTGATGCTGAGGTGAGCGGTCATCGCCCGGCCGGCAATGCAGTTGGCAGTCGTCCCAAGCGAGGCATCGAGGATGCTGGCGATAGAACCGCCGTGTGTGAATCTGGGACAGCACAGGCAACAAGCAGAAAGGGGGGGAATTAATGGCCAAGCAGGGCGAGAGGAAGGTAGGAAGAAGCCAGACTAGACGGCCCGGGAGGACCCTTCTGACTCGCGCTGTTTCTGTGTGAAGAAGATTCAGACCCTCAAGTGAGGAACGCTCTGGGCAGGCAAGGACGAACTGGGCAGCAGAAAGAGCCGGACCTTGAGGAGAAGCTGTGGCGAACAGTATTCTAAGTGCGGTCGCATCACAGCTTTGCACCAAGGGAGCGCCATCTTGGCAACGTTTCTTTTCAGCTCCTTTCCTAATTATGCCTCACAGAGATTTTGCTTTTCCCCAGCGGCTGATCAAGAGAGAATTGCCATCGTCCTGCCCTTTTTACCAGGGAATTGAGGGTCTGGCCATACACAAAAGGGATCTTCAAATGCTTTGCGTGGGCACATCTGGAAATGTTGAACGGGGATTGTGATCGCTCTCCCAAAAGGCTGCCATGCGGGGGGGGGGGCAGCCTCACCAATTGGAAAGGCGGCTCCCAGGGTGGGCGTGAGAGTCCCGAAAAGCTGCTTAGCAGCCCGAAATGAAGAACAGCTTGTTCAAAAACCCAAGTGCAAGGGAGCTGGGCAGGGCTGAGCGCCAGCAGACAAGCCGCCCTGCTGAACCCCAAGAGAAGAGGTGCTGAGGGCAGACTTGGCTTTGCAGCATCCAAGCCTGGGGGGCAAGGACGAGCACAGCTGCCCGCAGAGGCACTGGTGCCCAAGGACTCCGCACGGGAGATTCCGGACATAAGTTAGCGAGGCTCCGTTCTCATCTCAAAGCTGCAGCTCCGTACGAAGCAGGCAATTGTTTCTGCAAGCAAGGGTGCTGAAGACCTGGTTCCTAAGCCTCACCCTGGCGGTCCCCCGAGGTAGGGACCCGGCTGGAACACGCAGAGCAGCCTTTCTTCTGATAGGTTCAGGAACATGGCGTACTCGAAGCCCGCACCTTCAACATCAGTATTCCTGAGGAAGTTGCGGATGCTGATGTCCTTCAGCTGCTTCCAATGCCTGGTCTCTCCTGCGGGGGCAAAGAGGGAAGAGTGGTCAGCATCCAGGACTCCAGGTGGATGCTCTGGGAACCCTCCCTGAAGTAGGTTAAGGTATAGCCGGAGAAGAGGCTTCTCTGCAGTGGCGCCCAGATTGTGAAATGTGCTCCCAAGAGAGGTTCGCCTGGCGCCGACTTTATACTCTCTTTGGCGCCAGGGAAAGACCTTTATTTATTTAAAACATTTCTATGCCGCCCCCATCGCAACAAAGCCTCAGGGCAGCTCACAAAGGATACATAAATACATAAATAATAACAATATAACAATAAAAAATAATCATTTTAAGAATTAAGGATTTTAGATGTTTTAAGATTTAAGATTAGTCACATTCTTTTTTCTTTAGTTTTGCAGAATTGACTGTAATTTGTTTTGCTTTGTTATTTATTGCTTTAATCATTATACTATTATATTACTGTTTAATTATTGTAAGCCGTCCTGAGATGTTTTATTGGGAAGGACAGGATAAAATTTTTTTAAATAAATGAATAAATGCCAAGATTGTGTACCGGAGTAACAAAACAACCCGAAGTTACATTATCAGCCCTCTTAGTGGTCATTGATATGCACCTGAAATTCTGTGTACTGCAGAGAAACTAAAAGAATTCCAGGGACAGGCGACGGTTCATCCTCCAGCTCCCATCATGCTTCATGTTTGGCTGTTGGGCTGATGATGGGATACGGGTGGCTCACCTTTGTAAAGGGCATTATTATGCAGATTAAAAAAAACACAGAAAGGGAAGAAAAAAGTCCTTCGCTCCAAACGTGACATTCAGTTCTCAGCTGAGACACTTCTGGGGAAAGAGTGAACGCAGCTGGGTGAAAGGGAGAGGCAGTGTAGTGGAGCGGTTAAGGGTGCAGGAACGGGGCTCGGGGGATCTGGGTTCTAATCTCCACTCAGCCACGCACACATATATCTCCCTGGGTGCAGGTGGGCCCTTGCGCACTCAGCCCAGCCTACCTCACAGGGTAGTTGTTGTTGAGGATAAGGCCGAGAGAAGAATTATATAAGCAGCCCTGAGCTCCTAGCCAGGCAAACAGGCAAGATATAGATATAATAAATACAACCAACAAGGAAGACCGTCATCCACCGTGCCTGTGAAAACGGCTCCCCGCATCTCCCACCACAGCCTTGAAGCTCAGCCAGTGAAGCTCAGCTCAGCCAGGTGCAGATACCAGAGTAGCATTTGCAATTGACTTCTAGAAGCCATGCCAGATTTTTAAACATTACTTTTGGGGAACTGGATCGTTGGTGGCCAAAGATGAAGACAGAGATGATGAAATAATGAATAAATTAAGAACACTGAGCTACTGGGATACAGAGTGCTAGTCCAAGTCCAAACCAAACCAGACTGCTATTAACTGCGCTTGTAGCTTCCCTAACGAGAAGACCATTAAGGTCATTTCTGTAAGGACTGGTGATCAGAGAAAGGAATTTGGATTCTAATCTCCTAGAGCATGAAGCACACTGGGTGAGCTTGGGCCATTCACTTCCTCAAACTGAAATCCACCTCACAGGGTTGTTATTGTGTGCAGATAAAGCAGAGCGGGGGAAGTCAATCTAAGCTGCACTGGGCACCTTGCAAGACATAAGACAGGATATGAATGCAATATAATGACAGTAAAGGCAGCAATAACAGCATTACTAGGGACAAAAAGAAAGAGATGCAAAAAAGGAGTCAAGGAGGAAAATAGGGTCATCCTACCAACACTGCTGGCAAACCAAATGCTTTCCTCTTCCCTCCCCATCTAATTATCCTCTGATGACACGGCTTTGTAGACTACACCCCAGGGGCAGTGACTGTCTAAAACTGACTGGTTCTAAGCTGCCCTGGGAGCCTTTCTGTCCCCAGCATGGAATAAAAAATGTTCGGAATAAAAACAAGAATTAATACTTTGAAAAGCAAGAGGAGGCGAGAAGGGCGAGTGGAGCGGCAACCAGGCGAAGGGCCTTTTCCGCTGCTGCTCCCCATCTCTGGAATTCCCTCCCTAGGGAAATCCGCCTGGCGCCACCTCTACTTTCTTTCTGGTGTCACGTGAAAACATTCCTTTTTAAATAAATTTAATACTTAGCCCGTAAGAATGCTGTGGCCTTTTAAAAATATTGTAGTTGTATGGATGTATTTAATCTCTTAAGTGTTTTAATGTGTTAAGTATACATACATATGTTGTAAGCTGCTTAGGAAGGCCTTTTGGCAGTTACAGGTGGCCGATAAGGATGTGGACGAACAAACAAACAAGAGCTTCTCACCTGGAATATGTTCCAGAGCATGCCTATACGAGGGCAGCTTTCTCCACGTTCCATCTTCCGTCATCTCCATGAGCCTGTTGAACTGATCCAGCATTTCCTGGCTCCAGCCAGGATTGGGAAGGGCATAGTCTTTTGTCTTTTCAGGCTGCGTGAGCGGGATCTGAAAGTATGTAAGAGAGCTTGTAAGGTGACTGCGTTTGCTCAATACGGGAGGAATGAAGAACCACCGACTGAAGAGCAGATTCTAAAAAAAGATTCCGGACTGTGCGGAAATGGATAGACTGACTTTGTCTTAGAAGGAGAAGGAAGATACATACTTCTGCCAAACCTGGAATTTCTTTTATCACTGGTTAGAGAAATGGGACTATATGTAGAGCCGAATATGGTTATTAATTGTAGCAAGAAGTCAACCCAGTATGTCTGATGTCTCAGGAATAATTTTTGTTTTAGTTTAAACTAGTAGAGAAAATAATAAAAATTTAAAAAGTGGAAAAGAGTGAGAGCTCACAAGAGAGGTCACCCTGAGGCTCCCCCACTGCAAAGAGAGACCTCCTGTCAGCAACCTTCCCCAGAGAGGTCTGCCTGGCGCCGTCGTTATTTGTTTTTCGGAGCCAGGCGAAGACCTTTTTATTTAAGCGGCATTTTAACTGTTAATATTATTGGATTTTATCTGGCCAGGGCGGCTTATTTTATATTGGTATTTTTGTATTTTTAATCTAATGTTTATATTTTTTAATTTAATATTATAATTATTTTTTTAACTTATTGTTGTAAGCCGCCCCGAGGCTTCGGCGAATGGGGCGGCATAAAAATGTTTTAATAAAATAATAAATAAAAACCTTTCCCACCAGCAATTTGGTGCAATCTACCCCTGCCTCCTTGGCTTCCGCTAGACTCCAGTGGCTAGAGGCTCCCAGAGGGTCTCAGTGCTGCTTATGGACATGGCCGTTATACTTTGTTTAGTTTTGGTCAAGATTTTTTGAAATAACTTTTTTCATCACTAGCCCACAGCAGGCAGCCTCATGTCTCCATGAAACCACACAAGCCCGCCTTAGTACCTGGGCATCTGCCTCTACACCTGGAGGCTCCAGCGAGTTAGCACTACTCCTGCCCCTGGGCAATCCCCTCCTCCTAGAAAAACCTTATCTTAAACGACATCCACGCTACAGGCTCTTATAAACGTTTAAATCAAATAAATGGTTCTTGTGAGGGCAAGTTCCACAAGCAGATTGTGAAGCCAGTGATGCAGTGTTACCTTGAACCGGTGACTAATCCGGTGTTACGAGAACCACACTCAGTTGGCACTTGAGGCGGCGGCAAAAAGGATACTGCTTGAAGTGTGAAATGGCAAACTAAGCGGTAGATGTCGAAGGGGGCAGAGAACAGTTTCGTGGTGCCTATTGTTTGCTTACGTGGTCTGCCCGGAGTTACAGTATTTCATTTACTTTGGGGGACTTGTAGGGCTTCTAATTACTTTGAATAAATCAATATATTGTTCCAGCTCCATTCAGTTTACTCCACCTTTGCCTTCACTGGATCCCAAACAAACACCTGCTTAACCCTGTGTGATGGTCAGTGAAATGCATAACAGAGCCACACATTTGCTTTAATATCAGTAGCAAGATCCACGCAAAGATCTTGCAAAGCAAAAGCATCCAAACAAAACTGAGGGCAGGAATCGACAAAAGGACGCCCTACGCAAAACCAAGGGAGGTTTAGGTCTCCTCAGGAAAAGTGACACCCACCTTCCCCTTTTCTCGGTACTCACTGTGGCATTGCACACAAGTGCATGGGAGGCACGCTGCAAGGTTCCCTCAGACGCCAGGGCTGCCTGTGAAGGGGCGCGGGGGGTCCTCTGGCAGGCAAGCCCCTTCATCGCCCTCAGGAAGCTCCTCAGCATGATCTTCACGGTAAAACAGGCCTCAGCTATCCGTATCGCTGGTCATGAGGCCAAGAGGAGACACCTCTGCCTTTGAAGGTCACCTCTGCCAAGGAAAAGCAGCTCAGTAAGGCAAAGGAAATATGAACTGGAAAGGGCTTCTCCACAGGAATGAGAGACTCTCCATAAATGTCAGAGAAACTCATTCCCATCCCAAGTGAGAGCTAGAATCTGGCAAAGATTGGGGAGCAGGGAGAATGCAAGGAAACAAACAAAGTATACAGATCAGGCTAAGTGCTTTGGCCACGAGGTTTCAGGATGGAGATGAGAGGCTGACTTGACTAGTCACTAATGGGGGCTGCCATTAACAAGATTCCTAGCAGTACTCTGGGACTAAAGAACAGTTGCTGACCCCCATTGCTGAAAAACAGGTAAACCCAGATCTGTTTGGCCTTTGGCAAAACACACAAGTGCTTTGGCAGGCAGAGAAACACACAATCTTTCCATTAGCATAGCTGTTTCACTTTACAGAATACAGTAGGGGAAAGGTGAAGTATACTGGGACCACCTTTTGTAGTTATGCCAAGTAGCTGGTGGGAAGGGAAAAGCAAGAAGTACCTCCCCACTTGGTAGAAAAATATGTTTCTCTGTCCTGAAGGGCTGCAATTTCAGCTCCTCTTCTGCTCTCTGGGAACCTGTACATTTAATCTAAGGCAAGGCACAGATATAAGTTTCAGCTGACCTTGATTGCCTGACCACAACGGGGAAAATTGCTTCCCTGGCTGCAGCACCTGGCAGAGATCTGGAGCACAATCCTATGCCTGATTAAACAGAAAAATAAGCTCTATAGCCCCCATTGAAAAATATGTCAATCCTGCATATTTTTTCAGCCTAAATATGCCTAAGCTTGTATTGTAAGCCCACAATTTCCTTCCAAAGACTGTCAAAGCACAAGCACAACATCAGTCCTATCGTTGTGGGCTTTTCCCTGATGTCTCGATGAACAGAATTCTGGCCCTTGCACACGCATTCGAAGGCTTTGGCTTGGCCCAAATGTGGATTTTGGATTCCTCCTCCTCGCATTCTGCACAATGTGCCAAACACAACTTTAACAAACATGACGCCAAAGTTTTCCCAAAGGCCAACCCTTGGCATCCACCCTGAACACAATATTACAAGTGCGGGCGTTTATCATTAAAAACAAGCAACAATGAGAGTGAGAGGGGCAGTGAGCTGTCGTGGTTAAGGGTGTGGGGCTGGGGCTCGCGCCTCTGGGTTCGAGTCCCTGCTCAGCCATGGGGCAGACTGGGCCACTTCGAGCCAGCCAGCTTCTCCGCCCATCCTACCTCGCAGGGTTGTTGTCCTGGGGATCAGACCAAGCAGGCGAAGGAGAGCGATGTAAACCGCCCTGTGCGATTCAAGGGAAAGGGCAGCAGAGCAGCCTAATCAATCGCCGCAGTCACGCACAATCTGGGCACCGCCCCCCCCAAACTCCGTCTCTGACCTCCCCCCTCCTCTTCCGCATGACCTGCTTTTGGGTGACCCTTGACCCCGGCTGACCTTCGGGGAGGCCTACCTGCGCAGGAGCTCGTGCACCGCCTCCAGGCCACCGCCACCCTCGGACAACCGGCTCCTGGTGACGTCAACGGAGGGGGCGAGGTCACGCGCGCGCGCGCGCGCACTTCCGGCTCCGCGGGGGCGCATGCGCGTCCTGCCCTCCCTCCTCCGGAGCGCGTGACGTCATGCCCGCGCGCTTTCTCAGCCTTCCCATGTCCGCGCAGCGAAGCCTGCTGTGCGCGTGCGCGGCCCCTCCCCCTCCTCCCCCCTCCCTCCCTCCCCGTCCGCCCTTCACCCTGAAAGTTCTCCCTTTCTCAATATTTTTATTTTTTTTATGAAACATCTCCAGTGAAACATCTCCAGCCGATTCTTGCTCTTTATTAGGCTATACGAGCTCAGGCGAACGTTTCCCGGGGAGTTTTGCCAGAATGGTTATTTTCCCGCAGGGCAAAGGATTCCTAGGCATGTGCAGAGTGCTTTCCCGGCTGCACGATGAGATGCACAGAAATAAACGGAGCTTAGATTAATCTGGACTGATTAGTCACACTGATTTACTCTTGGGGCCTTTATCTCTGAGGTGTCACGAGCCTCATTGTGTAATACTCTCCCTTGCAGCCCTACAATAAGAAAAGCTGCATCTGTTGAATTGCTCTTTACACTAACGTTGAAGCCACCAGAAAAGCTGTTAGGTAGAAGTGCATCTCAGCATCGCTATTTGTGCCACATGGGGGACAAAGAGCATTTCTCTTTCCAGCAGCATGTTGATTACATTTGCATCCTATTTTCCTTAGGTCCAAGTTCCCTTCACCTTATGGCTGTCCATAATAGAGGCTGGGCTGGAGGTTGGTTGCGGGGCACAGAAAGGGAAAGCGTGGCTCTTCGTCTGAGTGTGGGTGATGTCAGCATCTGAGGTGTCCGTGTCTCTAAGCGTGTGCAGAATTCCCCCATCCCGAGAGAATGCCCTTACTGTAATAAAGCTGAATGAAAGGTTTCCCTGAGCATGTTCAGAGTGCCTTCCCTCCCAAAGGGAAACTGCCTCCTTGCTGGATGCCAGCCCTTCTTAACCTTGCAACTTCCAGATGTTTCGGATGACAGCTTCTAGCATTCTTCACTCTCGACTGTACTGGCAGGGCCTTGTGGGAGCTAAAATCCAAAATATTTGGCATGCCACCATGTTAGGAGGAGGAGGAGAAGGTCGACATACGACCAGGCTTTTTCAGGGCTGAGGCTTGTTCCTAGCTGCCTTCTGACGCCAGAGGGAGCATGTGGCCGGCGTCAGAACATGCCACATTCTCTGTCCTGCTGAAGTAGCATTTCCTGCCAACTACAGTATTGGGATTGATTTGCGGTGCTTTTAGTGCAGTTGGCCAACAGCCTCCATCTCCATTAAGCTGAAGAAAAGTGATCTGACAAAGACTGGAGAGCAGAACACTGTGTCACTAAAACACTGGGACTCAACCCGCTGCGTTTATTTTATTTATTTATTTAGAAAATGTCTATGCCGCCCCATTCGCCGAAGCCTCGGGGCGGCTCACAAATATATCATTTAAAATATTATACAATAAAAATATAAAACAAGTTAACAATATAAAATAAGTCGCCCTGGCCGAAGAATAAAATAAATAAATAGTATTAACAGTTAAAATGACGTTTGAATAAAAAGGTCTTGGCCTGGCACCGAAAAACAACGACGGCGCCAGGCGGACCTCTCTGGGGAGCGCATGCCATAGATTGGGCGCCACCGCATGAGGAAAGGAAAAAGCTGGTTGATGCCACTTCTCACTGTGGGATGCAAGTGTGCAGCATTTGGGACATGTTTCATGTTTGTTCCTTTGGACACCCTGACAACAATCCTGCAAGGCAGGCCAGTTCCATATTATCGGTACTGCTGCAGGGGAAGTGAAGGAAGGAGGGCTCTTCAGCCCTTAGGTTCACCAGGAAGCAGTTCCCAAAGTGAGCCTCCCACTGCAGCCGAGAGGTTGCAACATTTTCGGCTTTTGTCCCCCTGAATGGACACAAGTTTGCTCCCTCGAAAGGCAAAAGGAAACGGGGCACCGTACACCAGAAATACCAGCTTTTTTGAAGCTTAACCTCGTACTGCCTGTGATTTTCAGCAATTAGCACTTGCACCGTGAGCAAAGAGCTGAATGGCCCGCAGATCCCGGCAGAGACTCCCGGCACAGCGGGATCCCACCCAGATCTCGCCTCCCAACTGAGCAGCATTCCTGCTTCGAGGGTGCTGAAGGGGACCCCGTGCCGGCTCCGTTGTTTGCCCTGGTGCGGGAGGCCCTTTCCGGGAGAGGCGGGTGTGGAACACCTTCGGGGCTGAGCTCAGTCCAGCCCCCGTGGGGAATGTGATGTGTGTTCTCATTATTTTTTCAGATCACCCACCCTAGGCTGGAATTCGATCCCCCAAGCCCTGGAGGACCCACCTAGATGCTTCTTGGCTGATTCCAGAGGGCCTCTTGATAAACCCAAGGCTAGCTCCGCTCCCCGTTTCATACCACAAAGTATTTTGTAAACATCACCTTCCAGACATGAATGAAGGCTCTTGGCTTTGCCGTCCAGAGGTATGCGAGCCCTCACATGTTTGATGCTCCAGGTGGCTTATAGCAATGTCAAAACACACATAATTTGGCTTTTCCAAATAACCTGCTGTTATAAACAGTTATAATGTAACAGGGTTTAAACTACCATGTGCATAAAACATTTTACCTTCACAAATGCACCCCTGGATTAAAAGATCTGCATATAGTTATGCAAAGGCCAAAGGAAGGAGAAATTGACAAATCCAAACAGCAGAAATAACTCCAAATGAGCAACTGTTCAATTACCCCGAGCTGTACCATCTTAGTCCGGGAGGAGCGTGTCAGAGAAGCAAGGCTGATAGGCCATCCGTACAGATTTTTTAAAAAGCAGAATCACAAACTGACCAGGAACAGAATGGCACAAACCAAAGACAGGAAGAATGAGAAATACAGAGAAACTGAAATTGACGGATTTGGCCATTCTAACTGGCTTGATATTGACTGGGTTCAGACATTCAAGGATTGAGCGTGGGTTGTTGTACCATGGATTGTTGTTGTTGTTTTGTCTGATCCCAGCTGTGCTGCTGAGCCATCGCTTAGTTAACCATAAACAACCCCTACTTACAACTCCTACTTAGCTGTTGGGATGTGAACTGTGGGTTGTTCACTATGGTTAGTTAGCTCGGTTGGGTTCCGACAACAAGATGAGCCATGTTTCAACAAAAGCCCATGGTTCAATGAGAATCTGCGCTCAACCCATATTCAGTCCCTGAGCATAGGTTGTCATCATGTCTGAGCCTAGTCATTAAGATGCTGTGTGGTGCAGTGGTTAGAGTACCGGACTGGAACTCAAGATTTCTGGATTCTAGTCCTCAGTCAGTTCTGACGCTCTCTAGGCTCTCAGTCCAACATACTGTGAGGATAAAATGCAGAGGAGAGAAATGATGTGAGCTTGGCTTCCTTGAAAGGGGGAAAAACTAGGAAATAAATGCAATACAGTGCTAGTAATAATCCCCCACCCCCAAAGAGGAACTGAATGTACAGAAGACGCTTTTTCCTGGTTACCAAGTTCTGTGGTTTACTGTTTTGCAGTCATGAGTCAGGGCCTTACTCACAGGAAGGATTTTCTTTTTTTGAAAAAAGAAAACAATTGAAACCAGTAAGTGGGTGAGCCAATCTATCTTTCCAAAGCCAGCAAAATTCAGGAAGGCCAGGAGTCTATTTTACAGAAGTTGTGCCTGAATTTGAAAGGCTGCCCAGTCCAACTCCAACAGAAAGACAAAGACCTTGTAAGGCTTAGATCCAAAGTGAGCCTGCCTGAATGGGTCTAAGCCAGGCAAGCCCCAGATAAAACCCATCAAAGACTTAATGATGCACCTGGAGGGGAGACCGGAATGCGATGCGTTGTATTTCTACTCAGATGATCATATGAATTTCTGGGTTGGCATCTACACATACAAATTAGTCCACACCAATTTTATGCAAATCAGTGTCCTCAATTGACTTTGCTTCCCTTTGCATGATTTTTAAAAAATTACTCCTGTCCTATCCCCCCCTTTTTCCTCTTGTAAGGACCCTAAGGAGGCTTACGTGTTCCTCTTTCTCCTCATCCCCATGTGAAAACGCCTGTGAGGTGGGTCAGGCTGAGGGTCAGCGACTGGCCCAAAGTCACTCCATGAGCGTTGGAGGGGGACCAGCCCCTGGATCCGCCGAGTCCTCGCGCAGCCGCACTCGACCCTCCAAACTTTGTGGCTCTCTCAGATCACACCTGGGCTGTGGCGATAACGTGCCGAGACTTTTCTCCAGTGAGCAGGGCATGCAGTCAAACATCTTTGCTTGGTATGTGTGCAAACTAACGCAAGATGTCGGCTTCCACAGGCTGGTTGTGAGAAAGGCTGTCACAGAACTGTCTGAAGCTCTCCTGACCAGCTCCACTTGGAAGACCAAGAACAGTTAGTCAAGACTTGCAGTGAGCAGCTGCCGCAGAAAAAGCAGCCGCGCAGCTTAGCAACGGCTTGCCTCTTTCCCACTTAGGATGAGCTGTTTTTCCCTTGAAAACAATCCGTCCTTTCCAAATTGACACCTCCCCCATATCAAGAAGCTTCTGCTCCATTTATGCAAACGGCTGTCCTCCTTTTGGGCTACACATTTCCTCATTTTTCGGCACTTCACGAGAGGCTGGTGAACCCGGCACTGCCGATGCGCAAGGACACAGTGTCCCAGCGCAAGAGGCACGGAGGAAGCCTGCCTGGAAGGTTTTCCCTGGGGGAGCATGAAGCGCGCACTCCTCTTGGTTGGGGCTGCACATCAGCTTTGAAGGGGCAGTTGCTGGAGGCCTGCACTGTGCTTCTCATTTAAATTATTTCAGTGGCATAGGCTGACTTTTAGTCTTCTTGACGAAAGAAGAGTTTCGCAAACGGTTGAGAAGAGAGGCTGAAATGCTCCGACGGAAGACAGACCGCTTCCTGCAATGAGGCATGGTTCAGAATTAGCTCACGAGACCATGGGACTCTCCCTCTCTCCGTGTGTGTGTGTGTGTGTGTGTGTGTGCGCGGGCGTGCACATGTGCAAGGGGAGGGGAGGAGCCGAACACCCGCTGAGGCTGGCGGGTGGCCCCCGGCTCCGTCACCTGGCAACACAAATATTTGCAGCCCAACTGCTTGCGACCGGAACCGGGCCAACCAACGTTGTGGGTTGTGACAAGAGACACTTACGAGAAATCGAAGGGGCTGTTTCTCATGTGGCTGATGAATGCTTGTGCCTGGACCACAGCCTGGCCTTCTGGCCACCATCCTCTGCCTAGCATCTCCACCAAGAAGGCTGAGGAAAATGGGACATGTACGTGTCACAGGGAGCAAAACACTCAAGAAAGTCTTCCTTCTCCAGTGTGAACTTGCCATAAAGTTCCATAATTTGCAGCTTTTGGATTCTGGACCGGATAGTCTCATGAACACAGGGGGGTGTTGTGTGTGGATGCAGCTTTTTCGATGGCCATGTGTCTGTCTTCACTTCCTTCAAAGTGAGATAATCTAGCTTCGTGGCATTGGTGCCCCCTTTCTGCTCAGTGGGGCCCTGAGAACATCAAGAATTACGCTACAATATTCTTTGCAATGATCCCTCACGAGAGCAGCGGAACAGAATGGAGCAGCCGGAAAAGGTCATGCCGAAGAGGCTGGCTGCACCTGAAGCACTTCGCACTGCACCATTTTGTTTTGTAATGTTTACCACCAGACACCTGTTTTGACTGGCTTTGTGGTAGTTCCATTCCTCTCCCAGCAGAGGTATGAGGAGAGCTCCCTTCAGGACGGATGTCACAGCCAACACAGCTGAAGTTGGGTGCCCTGGATGCCGCTGGCTAGAAAGGCCGTCCGTCTGGACTGCGAACATACTTAGGAAGGGAGAGGAAATTCCCCAAGGGTGACAGAGCTCCTGGACTGACAAGGACACTTCAGAGTTGGCTCGAGCGGAGCAGCAACCAGAAATAGTCACCTGGGTTAAATTCCACAGCCCGCGGCAAACTGAAAGCATTCGCGGGGGGGGGGGGGGGCGAAGAAAGGTGTGGATTCTTTGGGGAGTGCAGAATTTGCCAGACCAGCTGCTGTTCTCCTGCTGCACTGCTAGCAGCCGGTTTTGGGGGCCACTTTTGGAATGCGAGGTGTGTGCTGCCGGCAGCCCGTTCCAAAAGCGCCTTGCTGCAGGTGTGAGCCAGCCGCCCGGTTCTCTAGTCCCAGAATTTGGCAAGCGGGGGGGAGGCCCCTTCGAACGAGGAGCCTGATGAACACACCGCTCTGCTGCAATAGGCCCGGGAGAAGTGAGGGCCCCCCGAACTAACCTAGCTCTGCTTCAGGACACCCCCCTTCCATGTGGCTCGCTGGAGCAACCACCTGGGTGCGATGCTCACCGTCATTACGCTGACTTCTGGCGGCCACGAGTCCCCTTTGCCCAAGGTAAACTAAGGCTCAGGCAGAATGTTATTGGAGCGTTCATTCATTCTTTCAAGGCCAAATGCAGTTTTGGAAAGTTCTCTGGGTTTCAGTGGTGGGTGGGGCCAGGCTACAGGGGGTGTGGCCAAACATCAAAGGGGGTGTGGCCAAAGTTCAAAAAATAGCAATAAGGTGCCACTCTGCAACCTTTTTCTGCCAGCGACTAAGGAAGGCATTTCAACCTTACAGAACAGGGGGAAAGCCCCACACAAAGCTGGGGGACCACCCTGTGCTTGGGGATTGGGGGCTGGATTGGGACCTCCGGCTGGGGGCTTTGTAGCCCCGAAATAAGCACCAAGTCCTTGCCAGCCCTTTGCGGTGTTAACAGTTCCCTTAAAGCTGTTTAGACCATGTCGGGAGGGTGAGATGATGTTATTCAGATGGCCGAAAATGGCTCAAAGGGACTAGAAACATGTTTTTTTTCTTAACCTGAAGATGGAGGGAGCAGCTGATTTCTCTACTCTGAGAGTCTCTCTGTTTGCCTGAGCGCCGGGCCCTGGGTGTTTGCAACTCCTGAGGTCTTTTTGGTCAACGTCTTTCCTTCAGGAATCCTGCACCTCAAGCCTCTTCTGAACCTACCCCAGTCCTGTGGCAGAAATTGGCTTCAGTCCCAAGCGCTTTCTGGATAAAATACCTGGGGGCTGAGGTAAGGGGCGTCTCTGGCATTCCTCTACTGCTGTTTGGACGGAGCGAGCCCACCGTGACCTGGCAATCCGGCATCGTTCTGCTTCCTGGTGCTGAAGCGCCTTCCAGGACCGGGATCTGCAGGGCATAATTCAGCAAAAGCTCCCCTGGCGACGGCGTAATCCCCGTCGGGCTGGCTCTTGGCCAGCTCCTGCAATCGGCGCCAGCAGCAGGATTTGGGAAGATGTGGTGGGGTGCAGTTTCGTCCCTCTCTCAGGATAGCAGGCCCATGGGTGTCATCCGCGAGGCTGCACGGTGGGAGCTTCAGGACTGATCGGTGGAAGTCCTGCAAAGCTGCACTATGGAATCCCCATCCAGATCGCATGGTGACCTCCGCCCTGGGGGGCTTCAGAAGGGGATTGGGCCACCCACGGAGAAGACTCTCCATGGCTACTGGTCCTGATGGCTCTATGCCACCTCCAATATGAAGGCAGTATGCCTGTGTGCTGCGGAACATGGGTGAGAGGGTGCCATTGCATTCTTATCCTGATTGTGGGCTTCATGTTGTCCACCGTGTGGACAGAGCACTGGACTAGGCAGCTCCTTGGCTCGATCCAGCCTGGCTCTTATGCCCTTAGGATTCTCTCAGCGGACAGTTGAATCTTCAGCGGACCTTCCTCTGACTCTCCATTCTGTCCTCTTAACAACCCTGCGAGGTAGGCTGGGTGGAGAGCCAGTGACGGGTCCATATCACCGAGTGACAGTGAGTGGGAACTAGGATCCAAACCTCATCCCATCCCAGTCCTATTAACCATTATGCTACCCTGGCTCTGCAAAAGAACCATCAGCATCATCTCCTTTCTATGGCAAGGAAAATAATCCATCCTCCAGCTGGTTTTTAGCTCCTGGGCTCCCCGTGTGTGTGACTGGGCTTGAAACATGCCACCATCTGCCCTGCCCTGTCCAAGCAGGATGTCAGAATCCCAAAGGAATACCATCAATTAATACAGCTCTGAGGGCCAAATTCTGCCTTGGAGGCATTCCAGTTGCAGGCAGAGCTGAGAGAAAAATGGGGCAGAAGGAGTGGGGAAAAATACTAAAAAAAGTGGCCTTATTATAGTCTAAATCCCCTTTTGCCAGATTCTAAGTCTTAGAAGGGACATTTTTCGACCTTCTAGATGACCAGAGGTACGGGAACTGCACAAAAGCCAGATAACCACAAAATTATTGAGGGATGGGGGAAAGGGGGCACGGCTTGGGGTTAGGGTTTGGGCCACCTGGGCTCTGTATTCCTGCATCTCAAGAGCAGACACTGGTGTTAGAAGTCTTGGCTCCAGACACCCAAGCCTTGGCATGTCCCAAATAGGAATTCCAGATGATTCTCTGCCTGTGAGCTTGTTCTGTGCTCTGTTAGCACATTGGGCAGAGAATGCAGAATAACACCAAAGATGTAGGGCACCGCGGCTGAGACTTGAGCTCCGTGAAGGCTCATTTATCAGGCAGACAATGCGGCTTGTGTTCCACTCCAACGTTGAAGAATAGCCCTTGTGAGGAACCACGCCCAGCGTGGGAACGCAGAAACGTTTCCATCCCTCTTGGTCAAGCTGGTCTTTTTCCCTGGGAGAATCACCAGACTGTTTATGCCGGCACTGAACCTCCTTCAGTCTGGGGGCCAGTTCCATTTTGGACAAATTGTGGGGTGTCCCAGGCTGCTGGAGACAAGGCCCTGAGCCACGATTCCAAGTAACCGGCTTCGATCGTGCACAAAGGAAACCGCTCAGAGGCTTGTGCGTTTCGCTGTGCTGGTCCGAGCCAAGTTAGCCATCGGAGAAGCCAATGTCTGAGATCAGGCAGGGGGCAGGAGGTCCAAACTCCCGGGAAAGCGCTGACGCTCTCCTGCTTGGGCTATCCTTGCTAAACACGCTCCACTTTTGGGGAAGTCTCTGGGCAGCAGCAAGTCACTGCTCTGCACTATCCTTCCCTCCTCGGCTGATGTTTAGTCTCGGTCTCTCCTAGAATCAGGTCCGGCCCGTTCGCTTTCTCTCCAAAGCTAGCAAGGGGCGCCCAGATGGATGGTGCTCAGGGACTCCCACAACTAGTGCTGGGTGCCAACAGAAGGACCGACAGTTCAAGGAACAAGTTCTCCTTTCATTTGACAGCCCCCTGTTGGCCTGAAAATGAGCAAGTGATCTCGAAAGAGCCACCATGGTGGGCATGTCGTGAGCGGGGCCGGGGGTCAGACTAGATGGCCCAGGAAGCCCCTTCTGACTCGCTCTGATTCTATGTTTCTCTCTCTCTCTCTCTCTCACACACACACACACACTCAGAGTGTTAAGGAAAACAGTCTCTCCAATACAAAAAACATTGTTTTATTTCAGGGGCGTGTTGAGCAGCGCGTCACAGGGGAAAAGGTAAGCTTACTTGTTCCTTGAAGTGATGCTGGATTCAAACATCTCAAGGGACAAATGGCAGGCTTGTGGGGATGGGGTTGGTTAGTATGAAGTGCCACCATCTTGTACTTAACTCCAACGTTGGGCTAGTAGGTCTGAGACAAGATGTGGCACCTTTAAGCGGAAACAGCGGGATCTGGAATGGCCGGTAGGTAGGGTGGTTATTTCGGGGTGAATCAGCACAGTGCCAAAACGCGCTGTCAGTGCTATAGGAGAGATGGGCCCTGCCATTTCCTTCAATACTTCTTTCCAGTCGGTTTCATCTTTCTCACGTAATATTCATTGCAACCGTTGGTGAGCCCGGCAAACAGAGACAGGTAGCCCTCGAAGTTGATTTTGCCGTCTCGGCACTCTTCCAGGTTCTTCATGATCCTTTCGATGGCCATTGGGTCCTTCTGGTTCTACAAAGAAAGGGGTAGTCACATGAAGGCAAAGAGAGGAAACTTTAAATAGGTACAGTCCACCACCTTTCCCACAATCACGGATGCTTTTATGGATTCCTGGCTTTTGCACAGGTTTCCCTCCGTTCTCAAAGGCAACCATGCTTTTCCAAAGGCAGAAAGAGCTTGTAAAATTAGGCTGTGATTTGGGGTATCAATGGGGTATACTTTGTGGTCCCTCACAATCCAGGTCCGTTTCTCCCTTGGGGATACCAATGAACTCACTTCCATATAGCCTGGAACCTCCTTCTCCATCAGCTGCCGGAGATCTTCTTTTGTGAGATAGTTCTTGTCTCCAGCGAATTTATGAAAAGTGAACATGACGGTCTCCATCGCGTGTTCCAACTGGGACGGCATCTTGCGTACTGTTTGATGGACCTTGTCCACGCCTGCAGGACGTAAGAGGAGAAGAGAGGTTGTTCCACCTTTCCCTACCTTGATGGATGGAGCTGCAAGAGAAACTGCTAAAAGCATGAGGGAACTGGACCGAACCCAAGCGAAGCTTCACTGCGGATCAACGCTATAAATCTTTCGACTGGGGGGGCAGATTAAACTCCAAGGAACAGGCAATTTGTGTTCTCTGCCCAGAAAGCTTAAAAATGGCCAATTCTGCATGAATCATGCAAACCGGCATCATTTTTTTGTATGCTGCAGTTTGTGTAATTTCTGCTTTGCGTGATTTCAATTGGTTTTGCTAAATCATGCACAGGGGCGCTAAACCCCTCCATCACCTGGCTACTGTCCCATCACCTCTGTAAGTTTTGGGATTCCAGCAGGCAATTTTAGACACATTTCAAAAATCCCTTGGCAGCAGAAGGGACTAGAAACGTTATATATATTGCATTTATATGCAATTGTCAGAAGCTGAGAAACTTGAAGTACCAGCACTGATTGGTCCTTTCTTGGTTGCTCTTAAAACTACCTGGATTATCCAATGCAGCAATAGAACTTGAGGTTCTAAAGTTTTCATTTTAACTTTAGCAGAATGGCTTCCTAGTCCTCATGAACAGAGAGAAAATCATGGAAAAACACCACTGCAGCCTGAGAGTGTGTTGGAACATATTCTGGGATCTGCTTTTGTTTGCCGGCAAAGACCACAACTGTTCTTTTCTCATTCTTGGCTGGAGAAAGGCTTTTTCTTATCACTTGCTACCTGAGACACTGCCAGAGATGGAATCTGGTACACTGCCAGGAGGTCTTGGAGTACGTGCAAACATTCCACCTTCTGAGGGGAAGGTGCGGGACCAGAACGACAATTGTTCCCACTTGGGGAACCTGTACTCTACCACACGTGACGTCATTTTGTTCCTTACAGGTGATGCCTGCGTGGGCCATTTGACCATCGGGTGCAACTCCGGGCAAAATCAACAGAAAAGTCACAGAGGCATTTTCAAAGCCAACTTCTCCACCAAAATCACAGCTGGAAGATAGGCGGGCAGGCAGAACTGGAAAACCAAATTGCGGGACGTGAAGATTGGCCTTAAGAGATCAAACCACTCTTCCAGACAGCCTGGTTTAGCGGTGGCCTTCACGACTAGGGAAGTGCTGCAGACGTGGTGGAGAAACTCTTTTCATACCCAAAAAGTACACCTGGAGACAGCCTGCTCTCATGGAAGGGGCCTGCAGCCTATGCCACGATGCTCAAGAGGACATCTTAACATGTGCAAAGGGCCTCGCTCTTTTATTATGTGAGAACAACTCTTCACTTCTTGGAAAAAATCCTCTAGAGCTTAGAAAGTGGGGGCACAGCAGTGCTGAATTGCTCATTTTTAACCGCCCAGAATTAACGTCTTTCCTTTTTGTGTGTGTGTTACATTTTCCTCTCCCCGCCTTTCACATTCCTTCCATAAACCCTCCGCCTTGGCTGGCTGCGTCGGCTTTGATCAGCAGCCCCTTCTGCTGCTGGGAACATCTGAACAATCGCGGGGCCATCTGGTTCCCATCTGGGATGGCTCAGCCTGGGGCAAAAGCTGCTGGCCCGGATCCCGGACCGACCAAGGGCCGGAGCCAGAGTGATCCCCTCCCTGTGCCGCCCCTTCCTCCGGACTGGCACATCTAGGACACACGCGCCGCCCATCAAAACACTTAACCCTTCGCTGGCGAGTTGCTCCTCAGCGGCTGATTGGATGAGGGGAGCCCCGGATACGCCCACAAACCAAGCACCAAGCGGGCGAGTTCAGGCCACGAGATACCCACACTCAGGGGTTCTTAAACCATGGCTTGTTGCGGAAAGGTGGCTTGTCGTACTGGCGGCAACCACCGGAGAAAACAAGCCACGGGGAGCAAGCCCCAGTTCACAACCCCACAACTCTCCGGGGTTGCTTGTGGTTCACAGCCCTGACCCAGACAATGGAATAACCCGCATTTCAACAGCAGACCGTGGCTGTTGTGCCTTCTGGTAGACTCCCTTGAACCATGGAGGCTCCATTCCTGCCTAACAGTCACAGCAAACCAGAAGAGTCGCTGCTAGGCCAGAGCTGAGGACCCCTCACTCATCCAACATGCCATCTCCAGCCAGCCCCCCCCCCCAACACTCCCCAAACGGGCATGCCTGCTTCTGTCCCTCGCTTTGGGTTTTATCACTGCTGAGCGTCCTTTTTGCTCCTTATAGTTAACCAGCACTTGAAAAGCGCGTGGCTGAGACTGTGTTAAAAGAAAGCAGAACTCGCTGGAATCCTACGAGAAGATTCTTGTTGGGTGAGGCACGGAAGCCGCCTGAGCTGCGGCTGTGGGATCGCTCTTGCTCGCTGGGAAGGAGTCTGACGAGGAGTCCCACTCCGGCATTCATCCGAGATCATGTAGCTGCTTTGCTTCACACCTCCATGGAAGAAAACTGCATCTCTCCCCCACTCCCCAGGCTAAAAGCTTTCATCTTTCCTCCTCAGCCATTGTCTCCTGGTCTGGGGTTTCTGGGGATAAGGGCAGGGCAGGGTGGGAGAGAGGGCGAACGGCTGCAGGAGGAGGGTTTGGGCTGCTGGAGGTGCGCCCACCGGCCTGCCCGTAACCTCCAGGGTGTGCCGTCACCCCCGGAAGCATCTGGAAGGAGTCGCAGGCCAGCTGTGCCTTGCTTCTGCAAGATCAGATAGTGGCGTGTAGAATGGGCCGGGGGCACAGAGGGAGAGCGGCTTATAGCGAGGGAATATTTATTTATTTCTGTACTGTCCAATTGCCAAAGCTTTCTATACCTAAATCTTGCTTTGGGTGTGTGTGCATGATTGAAATCAAGCTGCTTTTTTAAAAAATCACATGTTTCTGCCATCTAATAACACAGGAACTGCTTTGATGGCTTGGGTAACATGTCTGTGTAGCCTGATATCCTGTCTCCATCAGTGGGAAGCCTGCAGACTACAGGGGAGAGGGACTTTGCTAGGGTTTTGTTATGGACAGACAGACTGCTTCTGAACATGGAGGTTCTATTTAACTGCAATGGTTAATAAGTGCCCACAGAGCTGCAAATCCACTCAGGGGTTTATCTCTTCCCTTGGATTTTAAAAGTCTCTTGCTTGCACCTTTCCCCCCACACCCTGTGACAGTGAGTTCCACAGGGGATGAGCTTTGTGTGAAATGACAAGTTCTGATCCTAAGGTCTGGAACAAGAGACTGGGGTTGTCTTCTGCATTGTCCTGTGGCTTTGGATGAACCCACCGGCGCCAGGCCAAAACCTTTTTATTTAAACAGTATTTTAATATTTAACAGCTTTTAAGTTCAGTCGCTGTGCTTGTTTTGTGATTTATTGTTCTGTTCTGTTCTATTATGTATTGGAATTGTTCTTTCAACTGTTCTTTTAAATATTGTAAGCCATCCTGCGATCTTGTATAATAGCATGGCATACAAAAGCTTTAAATAAATAAATAAATTTGGGTACAGGTTGGCAGTTGCTTTCAGAACCCAGCTAGCAATATCATTTAGCCAGGGGTCAAATGTCTGCAGTCGTAATCGCAACCCGTCCCAACAATCCCTATTAAGGCTTACTCATTATCCTAGAAAAGGCATTTTAACATTTTAGAACTAAAGCTAGGAAGCCCTGGAGCACCTGAGTCTTGGGAAAAACATTCTTTGTTTCTTAATCATGTCATTCTCTAGTTACATTAGTTACATATTTGGTTTTCAAGTTTTCCTAAAAGTATCTTTGCAACCCACTGAGATTTAAATAATGATAGCTACAGTGCAAGAGACGTCGATCTGTTAAATAAATAAATTTCCCATTTTCAGGGTGTCTCGGGTACTGTGCAGAAAATTCATGGCCGGCCTTTGCAATGCGTAACTCTCCCCCACCCCAGTTCCCTTTTTCGTTCGGCAAAAGGTGCAGCAGAAATGCAGAACTGGGGCTGCACAGTCCCCTTGCAAAACTGGAAGCGATTGCTTAACCGCAGAAGTTTCCTGTCTGCGACTTCTTGGGTGTTCCCTCTGGGTGGATGTTTGCTGGAGGCTACGGAGAAAGGGGCTGCTCTTTGAAAGCGCTGGGGTGCAGGGGATGGAAAGTGGCGGGTGGGGGGGGGAGAAAGAATCGACTGCTTTGTCAGTCCCTGCAATGAATCAACAGCGCTGCAGCCCCAGCTCTTCTTGGCCGCTGCAGCGCCAAGCGAGGCGACCCACCCGCTGTGCCAGGCGAGGTAACCGGATGGGCGCTGCCCTGGCTTGGCCCGTGTTTGCCAACTGTCGGCCTTGTGGGAGATGACTCTGCAGAGAACCATCTCGGGCGTGATGTGCTCTCTATTTTAAAAAGCTATGGAACTGCACGTTTTGTAAGTTTGGCACAGCACCAAAAAGGTTTGCTCCGTCTCCAGTACAGCACTGCTGATTTCTCTCCCCTGCCCTGGCCTTGTTGGCATATGGCCATGTTCTTTGCCACCTTAGGGACTAGCGACATGGTTGTTGTTTTTTAAATAGTGGGCCAAATTGCATTGCTTTGCACAATCCATTTTGCTAAAGCATAGTCAGGGGGCAAGGACTTACCACACGATCATCAAATGCTGACCCATCTCATTGCTCAGCTAAATTCTCCCCTCCCACTGCACCACTTCTTTGGCTTCCAAAGCTTCATCAGGCATTTTTGAAAAGATCTTGGCAGCCAAGAAGGCCAGAAACTTGATTCCTCCCCCCTGCTAAATAAATAAGAATAAAAGTTCTCAGGAGTGGAAGAGCTTGGAGTGCCAACACAGTCTGAATGCTCTTAAAACTACCTTGAATGCACTATGCGGTGCTTAAGGTCCTGAAATTTTACTTTTCACTGACGCTTCTAGTCCTCATGGTCAGGAAAAAAGCATGAAAAGAATATCACCAAAGTGTAAGAGAGGGGGTTGGGCTTGTTCCTTTTAAGCAGGTAGACTGATAGCATGCCAAAAGTCTGAATGATCGCGACATCAGTACTGCGGGCCCGTCGCTGGGCATGGCGCGGGGTGGACGCGGGAGGCACCTGGGCAGTCTCCCCAGTGCGGCACTCGCCAGCCATTTAAGGACAGCGACAGCCAGCACGCTAACAAGAGCTTGCTGGGAGCCCAAGTCGAACACCTGGAAGGCACCACACCGACTGAGGCTCTGCGGTAGTAGACACAAACCACAGCCAGCCAAAAGCACCGGGGAAGCGTTCAAAGCAGGGTTCAGCACCAAAACCACAACCCTTCTCTGCTTGTCCCAGGTAGACTGCCCCTGGACAGGAGGTTCTATTCAACCACCACCGTTTTTAGCTGCTCTTCCCCTGCCTGGTCATCATGAATCAGTCCAGCTTTTTCTCTCTCCGCACCTCCCTCGGCATTAGCAGTTCACATTTTACTGCCGAGTGGGAAATTCTGCAGCGCTGCAGAGCCTTTTCTGACCCAGATTTGGTTGCCGGCATCTCCAGGAAATGCCAGGAAACACCCGAGGCTGAAGGCCTGGAGAACTGCCATTTGTCTTGGCCGATGTCGCCAAATGGGCCAGAGAAACCAACATCTGGCATATGGAAGGCAGCTTCTGATGTTTCTAGGAGGTAGAGCCATTCGCAGCAGGGCTCTGGCAACTGCCGGGCCCCTCTTCCCAAGCAGCGCTAAGCAAAAGGGGAAAACCTGAAAGAATTTCGGATGCTCTGCTGAAATGGAGATCTGCTCGCCCAAGAAACAGCAAGGTGGGCGGCCTGTAGGAAGCTCCCAGGTGGGTGACAAGCTCCCACCCCTGACTCCGCAGCAACCACAGATAGACTGCTCCCGAGTGCGGAGGTTCCACCAAGCCAATGCAATGGACAGCCTTTGCTGGAGAGCGAGTCTTGCTTTTTAAAAGCGGGCACAGCATCCAGGTCAGGAAAAGGCAGGGGGGCAGGGACGGGGCAGCCTTGTCTGGGGTCAGCCCTGACCTTGATAGAGAAGCCCAGGGGTGTCCCGGCTCAGTGCTCTAGCCACGCCCCAGCCCGGCCCACCTCTGTGGCCCTTGGGACAAGAGCCCGATCCAACCAAGAGCTCAGGCAGCTCCTTCTGACTCAGTGCAGCATCACGTGGGCTGAATAATGGCCTTATTCTTCTCCAGGGGCAGGATTCTTTCGTGCTGAGCTGTCAGGGGATTCCTCCTCTGAGGCGTGGTGGCTGCAGGAGAAGGAGGACAACCTTTGGCCGCTCCTGCCCCACTTCTCCCTGGCTGGCCCCCCCCCCCCAGCCGTTTGGGAGTTCGGTTCCCATCAGCTCAGGCAGCCGACCACCGGGCATGCTGGGCAGTGTAGTCCCAAAGACCCAGAGGGCACCACGGAGGGGGCTCTGCTGTAATCCTGGAGGCCGGGCACGGGCCCAGATGGAGGGGAACCTCAGAGCTTCCCTGCTGCGGATAAGAAAGCGACTTGGAAGAGAGCAACCCGGGAAGCCCCTCCAGCTCAGGGCAGGCCCTTACCGACCCTCCTCCGCAGCCAGAGAAAATGAATCACTCTTGGATCGTTCTCGAGCCCCACCCTCAGTTCTCCTGAAGCTGGACTCTCACCAGCATGACAGATCAGTCCTTGTGGCAGAACGGCCCATGGCTCCCGCCAACATGTGGTCTGACACCATCTTGTGTCCTGCACCAAAACGCACAAGACATTTTGTTCCCTCGTGGCGCAGCTGCATCGTGCCACGGCCGGTTCCATTTCCTGCCACTCTTTATCGGGGCCGCTGGAAGGCACCTCCGTGGCTCCCGCACTGCGTCCTAAGGTTGGCTTAACGCCCCCCCACCCCCGCCAGTACAGACTCCCTTACGACAAACACACCACAAACAAATCTGCAAGCTGTTCCGAATCGCCATTAAGAGTTAGAAACCGTGGGGTGGAGGAAAGAAACATTGGATGGACACGCAAGACTTCCCCACAACTGCCAGCAAAGGAAAGTCCAGAGATGCAGAAAGATTCAGAACAGGCAAGAGCGGGGGGCTGGCGCGTTTCTTGCCCCCCCTCCACATCTGTATCTGTGTGGTCAGGCACTCTGCGGAGATCATCTTGGGGCGGATGGCACCGCGGCTTCTCTGCTCCATGACAGGCAGCCTGGTGCGCCCCAAATGTTCTGGATGCCACCTTCCAGAAGCTGCACTCCAAGCATCCCCCAACCTGGGGCCCTCAGGGGTTGGCTACAATTTCTAGCATTCCCAACCACTGGATGCACCAGGTAGTTGAAGGGCAGGGGCACCGGGCTGGGAAAGGGCCGCTGTGTCTCTTCCCGTACCCCCCTCTTGGCCGCGGCCTTTCTGCCAGCAGACACACTGATGGGCCAGCCCCTTGCCGAGCCCAGTGACCATCTTTCTGTGCCCTTTGCCTCCATCATCTCCAGCTCCACCCCAAAAAGCAAGCAAATCCCTTATCTTTTTCTGTCCAGGAACTGAATCCAGGGTGGATGGAAAGATTGCTCACTGTGTAATCACACTGGGTGTGCCACTCCCTTGGTGTCTGTGTGCAAAGCAAAGCAGAGGAGGTCGCTCATGGATCTGGATCGGACCACAAGGCTAATTTCTGCTGGAAAGTCCAGCGCCTCCCGCTTCCCAGAGCCCAGTTCCTTGCAAAACGTCCGCCAGTCCCTCCTGGTGCGACACGCTGAATCCGGGGGGACTTTACACCACACGGGTCCTGCTCCAGACCATTAACAGCTCACAGTGCTGCATTCATGCAACTGCACCCGGAACAGACCTCACGGGTCCAGCAGGTTACACATTACAATTCCTTCTTTGTGCGACACGTAGCCACGCCACAGACCTGCCTCTCCCCCGCAGCGCAAGAAACCTGGGACACCCCTTTAGCACACCCATGTGCAAAGGACAGGCCTTCCAGCAGGCAAATGGTGCCAGGGTCATTCCCTGAGACACTGAGTCAGACGGGCCAAGGACCAGCCTCCGTCCGAGTCGCTTTCTGCATGTGTCAAGAGATTGCTTTTCTCTAGCGGCATAGTCTTAGAATATTATAACCATCTTGCATTACAGTCCTTTATTCCGCCATACTGTGGGGGGGGCACTCCAAGGGGCTCTAGCCAGCGGCACACGCCTTCCCAGTGCGGGGTGGGGAGACATCTTTCCCTTCTCATATCAATAAACATTGTTTACCCTCTCTGGGGTCCACATTCTGCCCTAAATACTCCCAGCAATGCTTAGAGACCCCCACCATTCCCACTTCTGCTCAGAGACACCCCTTTTTACGCAACAGAAGTGATTTTGGGTTTTCACCTCCCCCCACCGAAAACCCCCCTCCCCCCCCTTTAGTGATACTTTCTAGAAAAAAAGAAAGAAACGAACAAAAAATAGAAAAGCGAAATGGTGCTTGTCGGGGGGGGGCTGGGAGTGGCACGGGGGGGCGCCCCTAAACTTCCCCTGCCCACCCTTTTACACAGCTGTCATGGTTTTATCAAAAGGGCCCCCAAGTGAGGGCGACTGGTCCCCTCTTGCTTCTTGGATGCCCAAAGCCAGGAACATTTGGGCGGCGCACGAGGGACTCCTTAAGCAGGGAAAACCCGCCCCGATTTCTCCGTGAGTTGCTCACACACTTTTTGCGGTGGCTTCAAGGCGGGGGGGGGGCACTCCCTTTTCCCGCTTCCCCGGGAGACTTTCACCGCTCCGCCAGCGAGAACCCTCTTCCCTTTAAAAAACTCGACAGCCGCTTTTTTCAGGTGTGCGTGTCTGGAGGTGCTTCTCTCCAGTGGGGTGGTGCCCCCCCTCCCTGTGCCCCCCTCCCTGTGCCCCCCTCGTTTCAAGACACGGAGAGGACCCCCCCTCCCCTCACCCCCTTCTCCGGCCCCGCGGAACAGGCGCGCAACGGACGCGCGCGTTTACGCACCGCGCGCGGCTGAGAATCCACCCGGGCGCCCTCCGGCGCTACTCACCGAAGCGAGCCTTGCAGAGCAGGAGCGAGGAGCCCGGGGCGACGGCTGCGAGGCGAGAGCGATGCTGGCCAGCCGGGTTGGGCTGCTGGGCTGGGCTGCTGGGGGCGGAGAAGCAGGACTGGCGAACGAGGAGCCCTTCCTTTGGAGAGGAGCCAGCGAAAAGCCGCCCTTCGCTAGAGCCGTGCGTCCGTCCGTCCCCGCCCAGCCACGCTCCTCGCGGCCTTTTCTTGCCCTCCCCCCGCCGCTCCGCCCCCCCAAAATTTCGCCATGGTCCTGCCAAGCCACGCCAGAGAGGGCGAGCGCCGATCCCGGAAGGCAGAGCTCCGCCCGGCCCCAGGCGCCGACGGGCGAGTTCCCCCGCAGGCCGAACTGCAGAGCAGGTGGCGGGGATTGCGCTCCCTTCTCGCCCCAGCGCAAATTAAAGGGCTGGCTCTGAGCTGGTTTGGGAGCAGGCTGTGCGAAAGCCCGAGGTCCCCTGGACTGGTCCTTCGCGCCTGCCTTTAGCTGTCCTGTGGGGGCGCGTGTGTTAGAATATTAACGTTTCTCTGTGCAATGTTACTGCATTATCATCCATGTCATTCTTTACTGCCCAACTGACCAAGCAACCAGAATAAACCAGCCAGCCAAAAAATGGTAACCTTCCAAGCATCTGAATAACATTAAGGTGAACTTTCAAAGCCCTTTAAATATTAAAAAGAGGAAGCAGCCGGCAGCAAAATCGAATCTCTGGAGCAAAATCCATGAAAGATCAAGCCCCTGCTCGGAAATAAACGCTTTTAAAGGGGTATCAAAAGGAACACGGGGGAGATGCGGGCTGGTTTGCGTCTTCTCTCCTCTGCATGCACTGAATGCGGTTCGTCCTGCCTCCTGGACCGCAGGCCTACTGGCAAGAAAAGCGGCAGCAGAGGAGAGACGTTCATGCACCTCCTGGTGCCGCTCACGGAAAGGCCAGGAGAGCCGCGTTAAAAACCTCTTTTGCCTGACCGTGTTTTGCTTTGCATCTGGCCTACAGCTTCACTTTCCAAAGTCCAAGCTCCTGAGGCTTCAAATTTCCGCTCAGGGCTCCCCGATAGCTCAGGATGGAAGCGGCCTCCCCTGCCCGGCAGCTTCTGGTGCTTGGGGTGTCTCTGCCCGTCTGAGTGGGAAGCCGGCCCGGCCCTCCGGTCTCGGCCCAGCCCGCTGCTCCCCCTCTGTGTGCTGAGATTCCGCTGGCAGGAGAGACGCAACACCCAGCATGTTGTTCTTGGCTGGCTTTGCCCTGCCTACGCCTCGCTCAAGTATGTTTGGGAGCAGAGGCTCTCTCCCCTGATCAGGGACAGAGAAAGAAACGTGCCCCCAACGCCGACGCCCAGCCCTGCTTTTCCTGCATAAAAATGCACGCGAAAGCATCTTGCCGGCTGCAGCCGCGGCTCCATTCATCCAGCCCAGCATTCTGCCTCTGAGAGAGGACAGCCAGCTGCATCCACGGGCTGCTCCCCTCAGCCCTGAAAGCACTGCTCCAGCACTCAGAAGATAGACTGCTCTGGTGCGTGGAAGCCCCATTCCCTCACAGCTAATAAGAGGCAGGCTTGGATGAAAGCAAGGACTCTGGCTGGGCAGCCTTCCCAGCGTCCGCCACTGTTGAGTGATGTGCAAAGACCGGAGGAAAGGTGGGTGCTTAGTGGATCTCACGGGCGCTGCCGGCACCGTCTCTGGGACCCTCTGCTCCTGGCCTTTCGCAAACAGTAGCCAGGCAGGGAGAGAACGGGGCCCGTGCGCCTCTCCTGCCACCCAAGGCTATAATGCCTCCGCCTGTTTACTTTGCTTCTTTTCCATCTCTGCATTTATGAGTCATCCCGCACCCCAAGTGGGGCCTCGACTAAAGCATAAAGCACTCTGGGAGCTTTAGCATCTACACTCCCTCCTTCCCGCTCCTGGAGTCCTCCAGCTCTCGAGACTTCAGCTCCCATCAGCCCCAGCGGGCATAGCAGGGAATGGTGGCCCCAAACCTGAAGAGCAACAGCGTGGAGGAAGGGTGGGCTGTGAGTATACAGTTGACACTTAATGCACTTTGCACATGCTCAGGAGCATGACCGCCTTCTCTCCCCGTCCTTCACTCACTCAGGGCCAAGCAAAACCCTGGCTGAGGAGGGCCCACAGCAACCTAGAGGTGTTTCTCAATAGCAGGATGACCTTCCCCAAGCTCCTGGCCCTCATTGTTCTTGGATGGGCATGACACAACAGCTCTGCAAGGCGGGGCCGTGATCTTTGCTGCGGTTATTTGATCGGCTCCTTCCGCCAGTCTTCCCCATCCACCCCCTTCCCCGTGAAATGGGGACGGGACCACCCACCGCACTCAGGTACAACTGCCCGGACTCGCTCTGCGGGATCTTTCCAAGAGTGGATGACAGGAGAAAAATAAACCCCAAACAGTCCAGGAAACCAGAACAAGCTTTCAAAGGGAGCTGTTCAGAAACAGAATGATTCACTCCTTTTTTTTTTTAAGACATTTTCTTAAGATTTTAAAACGAATACTCCAAACATCAATCATCGCACACACCGGATTTACTGGGTCAGCCCCCTACTACATATCTTTTCACATTCGATGATCATACTAAAATCCATTTAAAATAACTTGAAAACATCTTTGGATCAGAACCAAGTCCCGTTTATCCAGCCAAAAAAAAAAAAAAGTAATTCCAGGTTCGATAGAAGTCGCTGTCTTCCTCTTCTCCATCAGGATTCACTCCTGATGCCTCTGGCGTGGACTCTCCTCTTCTTCTTCAGAAATTGGCAAGCAGTGCCTGAGAAGAAGAGGGAGGGGTGGTTCTCCAGGTCAAGGAAAGGGCAGGAAAAGGGGTGCCACCGGGGACACTGGGAAAGGGGGTGCGTGGCCGGGAGGCCACTCAGCAGCCCCTCCAGAGCTCTGGCCCCAGGTGCTGGTGCCGACGGGCAGCGTGGCTGGGAAATGGGGGGCACCTCGGCGGGCGACCGGTGGGCGGGGAGCGACGGGTGGGGATGCCTCCCACACCCCCTTCCACCGCTCCCCTTGTCTGGGCCGGCGAGCGAAGCGGGTTGCCGCAGGGGGAAGGGACCCGGGGGCCCCGCTGGGACGTGTGTGCCCCGACCGGCCCGGTGTGATTTGCCAGCGCTGGCCCAAGGACGGGGCAGTTCCAGCTCGGGGAAGAAGCCCTAGCGTCCTTCTTTGAACCATTTCTATTTATGCATTGATGTGTCACTTTCTATTCCAGATAGTGTACCTAAAGCTGACAACACGTTTCAAAATATTTAACTTTGTTTCTCTAGGACTGGAACTCATGTATTGTTTGAAAACAATGCAAAAACTTTCCATACAGTTGAACCTTTTCCAAACCAAGTTGGAAACTTTAATAGTTATCCGTCAACCTTCCCCAGCCCAGGTGGTCTCTGGAAGTTTGGGACTTCAGCTCCCATCAGCCTCAGCCAGGATAGCCAATGGCCATGCCTGCTGGGAATTGCAATCCGAAACATTCAGAGGACATCAGAAGAGGGAGAGAATGGCCAGTGAAATGACGTGTGGACAAGCTCAAGAGCACAGACCCCTTTCCACGCCGGATGATCCGGCCAGCCTTGGGGGCATCGGGTTTGATTCCTGCAGGATCCAGGCTGGGTCTGAGGCACCATGCTGGGGCGGCCCCTGTCCGGCAGCTTGGCAAAACTCACCGCCTCGTGCTCCAAAGCAGCTTGGCAGGGCCTGCCTTGCTCGCCCCTCCTGGTCTGTCCTTTTCCCCACCGCGAGGCTTCCCCATCTCAGTCTCCTGAGCCTCGGTTATCGCTTCCTGCCATAGCTTGCTGCTTCCTCTCGGCCGCATGGAATCCATCCAGGTAGCTAAATTCCGCTGGCTGTTTTGCTGGCTCCCAGGCTGTTTTGCTGCTTCTTCACATCCCACCTTCCCTTCCTGCTGGTGGGGTCTCTCCGATTCTGTACCACAAACCAAACCAACACCATCGTGGAAGCCTCTCCTCCGTCATCAGGCAACGAGGAAACATGACAGGGGAGGCCTAGAACATTTAATTGATGAATTTGCTTTCGCGTTGTTATCTGGGTATTTACACCACAGCATTTGTGTGTTTCAGATTTTTCTCCTTGTTTCTTACGCACTGTGCTTGTTTCCATTTGTTTTGGTTCAACTCACAATAAAAATGAATGAAAAAGGAACAGACAATGCCTGGCAGAGGAGGCCGGACGGAAGGGGGGACAGCCTGGGCCAAATATTCCACTTTGCCAAAAGGGCTGGCTAAGGGTCTTCACGATTGGGTCTGGCTATGCCCAATTTGTGCAGGCAAGAGACACCTCTCCTTCGAACCATCCAGCAGTCGCTGAACTTTACATGCCCTGCAAGCAATGGCTTTAGAGTAAAGGGACTCAATCAAATTGACTGGAGTAGCAGGACTCTGAAATGAAAAATTAGCAGGGGAGGTTTGGTTCTTCCCTCCGCCCTCCCGATCGGTTTTTCTTTTGTATTGAAACCCAAAGGCAGGGGACTCTCAATATTAACCTGAGTACAGGTGACCCTAAGAGAGGCTTCACATCAGGCCAATGAAACCAGTGGGGCTTTCGCTGACCAGCTTAAAGCCCCCTGGATTCCAGTGGGCCTAGGAATGACTGAGCAGGCTCCTGCTAGAATACTAGAAATCTATCTGAAGTCTGGCCTTGCCTGGGCAGAGAGACATTGGGGCAGAAACGGGGTGCTCGCCCTGGACTCCCCTCAGACAGTGAAACTGCATCATTCGCCTTTGCCCAGTTAACTGGTCAGTGCAGGAACTGGTTACACTCTTGTGCCAGCTCTGAGCATCGCAGAATCGCCATCCCAGCAACAGCTCCAAAGTGCACCTGGAGCGCCCCCGGGCATGAACCGCAGCCCCCGGGCCTCACTGGCCCAGTTACCACCCTGGGAGCAGAACCAGGGCGCGCCCAGCACGACATCGCAATCACAATTGGTATTTGATGGCAGCAAAACAATTAAAAACGCCGCGGGGACTCTCGGGCGCCCTCCTGTGGCCAATACTGTGCACCGCAGCCTGCTTGATCCCCATAGAGGTGCTAAGGCCTCAGAGCTGAGCCTGGAGCGCCCTCCTGTGGCCATTACTATGAATTGCGACCTACTCATTTCCAATCGTTCATTTAAAATATAAGCCGCGAGGGCTACCTCGGAGCCCTGCAGCCTGCCCGGCCGTGCTAAGACCGCGGAACAGGCCACGCCCCAAGCGGCAACACTTTCACACAACGACTAGCTCAACACTGTAACGGGGTTTACCGCCTCCCTCCTCTTTCACTCTCTGTTTGACCGCTCGCTCATATTTCCCCAAGTGGATTTTATGATGCAAAGCACAGGGCTGGAGCCCCGGTTACACGAAAAACACATCCTGCCCGCATTGGCCTTCCTTGGAAACAAAACACTTACACAAAGGAACAAACTCAACAGAAGCCGAGGGTACAGTACCACTTTCCCTGCGAAGACCTCAGCCATTGATGGGATCCCTTCTGGGGGAAAATGCTTTACGGTGTAGTCCGCTGATGCCTTTAGCCCAGTCAAGATATCGTCGATGAAATTGGGGTGCCCTTCGGGGTCCAGGACCGCTAGTTGCAGAATCTTGATCGCAATTGGCCGCTGCGGTGACTCTCGGGCGCCCTCCTGTGGCCAGTGTTGGCTCTGCAGCCTGCTTATCTTCACCTGTGTTATCTTCACTCCACGCTGAACCTGGAGTGCCCTCCTGTGGCCACTATTGGGAATTGCACCCTGCTGAAGCCCTTAGTTAGAATGTTAGTTCTTAATGCTCTGCTGCCCTCCAGTGGTCAATGTTGGGTAATGCAATCAGTGTAAAAAATCAGCAAAGCCTGCTGCTCTCCCTTCCCTGTTTTTGGTAAAGGCGCTGCAGCTGGAGCGCCCTCCTGTGGCCACTATTGGGAATTGCGACCTACTCATTTCCCATAGCCCATTTAAAATAGCCATCGCAGATTCGCGGCTTCTACCTCTGAGCCCTGCAGCCTCCCAATCGTGGTTGT